TTTGACTCTTTGGAGCAAAAACTGGGCCCCAAATCTTAGGGACCAGGGCTTGCGATTTGACTCTGTGGAGCACAAATCGACCCCGACAACTTAGGGACCAGGGCTTGCGATTTGACTCTTTGGAGCAAAAATCGACCCAAAAATCTAAGGGACCAGGGCTTGCGATTTTACTCTTTGGCGCAAAAACTGGGCCCCAAATCTTAGGGACCAGGGCTTGCGATGTAACTCTTTGGAGCAAAATTGAACCCAAAGTCTTAGGGACCAGGGCTTGCGATTTGACTCTTTGGAGCAAAAACTGTGCCCAAAATCTTAGGGAGCAGGGTTTGCGATTTGACTCTTTGGAGCAAAAACTGGGCCCCAAATCTTAGGGACCAGGGCTTGCGGTTTGACTCTTTGGAGCAAAATTGGACCCAAAATCTTAGGGACCAGGGCTTGCGATTTGACTCTTTGAACCAAAAACTGGGCCCAAAATCTTAGGGACAAGGGCTTGCGATGTCACTCTTTGGAGCAAAAAATGAACCCAAAATCTTAGGGACCAGGGCTTGCGATTTGACTCTTTGGAGCAAAAACTGGGCCCCAAATCTTAGGGATCAGGGCTTGCGATTTGACTCTTTGGAGCAAAAATTGAACCCAAAATCTTAGGGACCAGGGCTTGCGATTTGACTCTTCGGAGCAAAAACTGGGCCCAAGATCTTAGGGACCAGGGCTTGCGATGTCACTCTTTGGAGCAAAAATGAATGCAAAATCTTAGGGACCAGGGCCTGCGATTTGACTCTTTGGAGCAAAAATTGAACCCAAAATCTTAGGGACCAGGGCTTGCGATTTGACTCTTTGGAGCAAAACTGGGCCCAAGATCTTAGGGGCCAGGGCTTGCGATGTCACTCTTTGGAGCAAAAAATGAACCCAAAATCTCAGGGACCAGGGCTTGCGATTTGACTCTTTGGAGCAAAAACTTGGCCCCAAATCTTAGGGACCAGGGCTTGCGATGTCACTGTTTGGAGCAAAAAACGAACCCAAAATCTTAAGGACCAGGGCTTGCGATGTCACTCTTTGGAGCAAAAATTGAACCCAAAATCTTAGGGACCAGGACTTGCGATGTCACTCTCTGGAGCAAAAACTGGGCCCCAAATTTTAGGGACCATTGCTTGCGATTTGACTCTTTGGAGCAAAAACTTGGCCCAAAATCTTAGGGACCAGGGCTTGCGATGTTACTCTTTGGAGCAAAAACTGGGCCCCAAATCTTAGGGACCAGGGCTTGCGATGTCACTCTTTGGAGCAAAAAATGAACCCAAAATCTTAGGGACCAGGACTTGCGATGTCACTCTTTGGAGCAAAAACTGGGCCCCCAATCTTAGGGACCAGAGCTTGCGATGTCACTCTTTGGAGCAAAAATTGAACCCAAAATCTTAGGGACCAGGGCTTGCGATTTGACTCTTCGGAGCAAAAACTGGGCCCCAAATCTTAGGGACCAGGGCTTGCGATGTTACTCTTTGGAGCAAAGATTGAACCCAAAATCTTAGGGACCAGGGCTTGCGATGTCACTCTTTTGGGCAAGAAATGAGCCCAAAATCTTAGGGACCAGGGCTTGCGATTTGACTCTTTGGAGCAACTGGGCCCAAGATCTTAGGGACCAGGGCTTGCGATGTCACTCTTTTGGGCAAGAAATGAGCCCAAAATCTTAGGGAGCAGGGCTTGCGGTTTGACCCTTTGGAGCAAAAAGTGTGCCCCAAATCTTAGGGACCAGGGCTTGCGGTTTGACTCTGTGGAGCAAAAATTGAACCCGAAATCTTCGGGACCAGGGCTTGCGATTTGACTCTTCGGAGCAAGAAATGAGCCCAAAATCTTAAGGGCCAGGGCTTGCTTTGGAGCAAAAAACTGAGTCCAAAATCTTAGGGACCAGGGCTTGCGATTTGACTCTTTGGAGCAAAAACTGGGCCCCAAATAATAGGGACCAGGGCTTGCGATGTTACTCTTTGGGGCAAGAAATGAGCCCAAAATCTTAGGGACCAGGGCTTGCGATGTTACTCTTTGGGGCAAGAAATGAGCTCAAAATCTTAGGGACCAGGGCTTGCGATGTCACTTTTTGGAGCAAAAACTGTGCCCTAGTATTGGGGGGAGGAGGGCTCGTGATTTAGTATTGGGAGGAGGCCCGGGCTCGTAAATTAGTATTGGGGGGAGGCCCGGCTCGTGATTTAGTATTGCGGGAGGCCCGGGCTCGTGATTTAGTATTGGGGGGAGGCCCGGGCTCGTGATTTAGTATTGGGGGGAGGCCCGGCCTCGTAATTTGGAGGCCCGGGCTCGTGATTTAACCCGGGCTCGTGATTTAGTATTGGGGGAGGCCCGGGCTCGTGATTTAGTATTGCGGGAAGGCCCGGGCTCGTAATTTAGTATTGGGGGGAGGCCCGGGCTCGTGATTTAGTATTGGGGGGAGGCCCGGGCTCGTGGTTTAGTATTGGGGGGAGGAGCCCCACCCCCCATTTGGAAATACATGAATTACTTGAATTAATTGAAATAATTGAATTAATTCAATTAATTCAATTAATTGATGTATTTCCAAAGGGGGGGTGGAATTAATTTAATTAATTGAATTAATTCAATTATTTCAATTAATTCAAGTAATTCATTTATTTCCAAATGGGGGGGATTCCCCAGCCCCCACCCCCCCCTTTGGAAATAAATGAATTAATTCAATTAATTGAATTAATTGAATTAATTCAATTAATTCAATTCATTCAATTAATTCAATTAATTCATTTATTTCCAAAGGGGAGGTGGAATTAATTGAATTAATTGAATTAATTGAATTAATTCAATTATTTCAATTAATTCAATTAATTCAATTAATTCATTTATTTCCAAATGGGGGGGAGGGGTGGGGGCTGGGGAATCCCCCCATTTGGAAATAATTGAATTAATTGAATTAATTGAATTAATGGAATTAATTGAATTAATTGAATTAATTCAATTAATTGAATCAATTCAATTAATTCAATTAATTCAATTAATTCAATTAATTCAATTAATTCAATTAATTCAATTAATTCAATTAATTCAATTAATTCAATTAATTCCACCCCCCCCCTTTGGAAATAAATGAATTAATTGAATTAATTGAATGAATTCAATTAATTCAATTAATTCATTTATTTCCAAAGGGGGGGGGTGGGGGCTGGGGAATCCCCCCCATTTGGAAATGAATGAACTAATTGAACGAAATTATTTAAACTATGGCGGCTCGATTTGGCCAAATTTTGCCGGGCAGCCTGCGGGCAAAATTTGGCCAAATCGGGTTGCTCTTCGTATGCCATGAGAAATGCGCGGCTCGATTTGGCCAAGTTTTGCCCGGAGGCTGCCCGGCAAAATTTGGCCAAATCGAGCCGCGCATTTCTCAGCGCGTACGACGAGCAGCCCGATTTGGCCAAATTTTGCCCGCAGACTTCCCGGCAAAATTTGGCCAAACCGAGCCGCGATAGTTTAAATAAATTCGGGCCTCCAGAAAGGCGCGGCTCGATTTGGCCAGATTTTGCCGGGCAGTCTGCGGGCAAAATTTGGCCAAATCGGGCTGCTCGTCGAACGCGATGAGAAATGCGCGGCTCGATTTGGCCAAATTTTGCCGGGCAGCCTCCGGGCAAAATTTGGCCAAATCGAGCCGCGCCTTTCTGAAGGCCCGAATTTTTTAAACTATCGCGGCTCGATTTGGCCAAATTTTGCCGGGCAGCTTCCGGGCAAAATTTGGCCAAATCGGGCTGCCCTTCGTATGCGATGAGAAATGCGTGGCTCGATTTGGCCAAATTTTGCCCGGAGGCTGCCCGGCAAAATTTGGCCAACTCGAGCCGCGATAGTTTAAATAATTTCGGGCCTCCAGAAAGGCGCGGCTCGATTTGGCCAAATTTTGCCGGGCAGCCTCCGGGCAAAATTTGGCCAAATCGAGCTGGGGGGGTGGGGTCTGGGGAACCCCCCCCATTTGGAAATAAATGAATTAATTGAATTAATTGAACTAATTGAATTAATTCAATTAATTAAATTAATTCAATTAATTCCACCCCCCCTTTGGAAATAAATGAATTAATTGAATTAATTGAATTAATTGAATTAATTCAATTAATTCAATTAATTCATTTATTTCCAAAGGGGGGGGAGGGGTGGGGGCTGGGGAATCCCCCCCATTTGGAAATAAATGAATTAATTGAATTAATTGAATTAATCGAAATAATTCAACTAATTCAATTAATTCAATTAATTCATTTATTTCCAAAGGGGAGGTGGAATTAATTGAATTAATTGAATTAATTAATTCCAATTAATTCAATTAATTCAATTAATTCAATTAATTCAATTAATTCAATTAATTCAATTAATTCAATTAATTCAATTAATTCAATTAATTCAATTAATTCAATTAATTCAATTAATTCAATTAATTCAATTAATTCAACTAATTCAATTAATTCCACCCCCCCTTTGGAAATAAATGAATTAATTGATTAAATTCATTAAATTCCAGGGGGAAAGTGGAAATTAAGGAATTTAATGAATTAAATTCTGTCTGTGCAACCCTACAGGACCTAAAATAGGGTCTATTTGGAACATGGCTCTTGTGAATAAGTATACGTTTTGGGGCCTGTTTTCCTCTTGTAAATACGATTCCCAGCTTCCAAATAGACCCTATTTAAGCTGCACACGGGGGGGGGGGGGGGTGGGTGTGCTATATTAAGTGCTGTATATTGCATTGCTGGTACCTCCTGTTATTTTGGAGAAACCCCCAATGTTCACAGTTTAGCTTGGGAACAGTCCCTGCACGCCCCTGCATGGCACAGTGTCAGACTGCTACATTCGATGCCGAGTCTATAAAGCTCATGAGCTGCAACGCAACAACAAGCACAAAGGACATGCGCATGGAACCATCACTCTGTTTAGACGATGTGTCTCATGTAGCAGCCTGTGCTTCATCAAGGCATAGCTACTGCATCTTGTTGCCATGCCCTCGTTTGGGTGGCGTCATGCACGCCGACGCTGGCCGGATGGCGAGTGACCTGAGCCAGAGGGCAGTTTTTCGTGCGGCCTCGGGGCTGGCCGTGCTTTCTGGCGGGGGTCGCGTGTGGTCATCAGATGGTGCCGACTATTTTCAGGAAGCCGAGGTAACGAATCATGTTGACGTCTTTGTCAGCCACTCTTGGGCAGCAGACCGCTGGATGAAACACCTGGCCATGTGTTACTTTCTGAATTTTGGCCTGTCTGTGAAAGTCACGCTTGCAGCTGTGTTACTTTCACAAGGCATCTTCTTTATCTACCCAGAACAATCGATCAGCACGCTGTTCGTCTTAGTCATGGACTTTCCTGTGCTCGCCTTCTTCCTTGCGTTCTTTTTCGGGCAGCATTTGACCTGCGGTCGCTGGTGCCCGTCACTCTGGGTCGATAAGCTCTGCATTGATCAGACCGATGAGTCCGCCAAGCAGCGTGGCATCGCAAGTGTGCCCACCACCGTGTCCAACTCGTCAGAGCTCCTTGTGCCTTGGCTCCTTATGTTCATTCAGTAGATTTCTCATGTTCATCATATTCAATATGCATCCTCTCCGGTGTCTCCATGCAATATATGCCGGACCAGGATGGCTAGTTTCGTTGTAGCTGTTTTTGCTGCGCCGTAACTTTTCTGCTCGTATGTGACCTTTTCTGCCTCAGAACCCTGATTTTGTTGTATAGCCGCCCTGATACGAGCAGGAGATGCTACCCATGGGTTGGCCTCCCTAAGGTTACCCTCAACCCGAACAAGGTATGGCGGCATGCAGTAGACCCAAAATGGTGAGATGGTAGCTGAGACGCCTGTTGGGTTGATTGGGAAGGCGAGAGCCCTAAAATGGGAGATGTTTGGGTAAGCCCTAACGGTCGATGTTGTGGCAAGGCACTCGCAAAGCTTAAGCATACATGTGTGTGGAAGCCGTTAACGTTAGTGAGCGACGATGACGGGTAAACCCTAAACCCTAAACAAGTGATCTCCCAAATCAAGCCAAATCCCTGCAGTGTGGATGTGCCGTTCAGCTAGGCGGGCGGCACAAAAAACACATGTGAGACTGTGAAAAGACATTGAGGCCCTGAAAAGACAACCACAAGCCTCTGAGGCGTCAGGCCAGGTTTTGCTGAGCATTTTGCATTGACACATCTGGAAAGACACAGGCAAGCAAACACAGTTTCAACAAAGGGTACAGAATCTGCTTGCACATGCACAATAGAACATACGTATACACATATCTTTAATATAGTATAGTATAGTATAATCAAAAACAATATGATGAATACAAGAAAAGAATGTGATGTACTGTGTTTTTTTCATTGTAGGGGAGTTGAGTCATGGATGTTTAATGGTCGATGCGCATGGCAAGACGGCAGGTTTTGTGGGACGAAACTTACTTTCAGCGCCTGTGGTGCAACCTGGAGCTATCGATTTTCGCAAGACGCCGCGGCGTCAAGCACGTTCTCTTGGTCCCTTTGTGGCTGGCACCATGGTTGTTGAGCACCATGCTGTTGCTGTATTTGGAAGGGCGGCTCATGGCAATCATGTGGAGCTTGAACCCGAAGATGGGTATCGATGTGAACGCGGATGATGCCCAAGCTGCAACGAATGTGTACATGTACGGCTTCCAGCACATGCTTGATATCCTTGAGGCGGCCCCATTTTACGCCTTGCTATACCTTCCCATGATACCGGTTAGCCTCACAGCTTTTCAAGCAAAGCTTGACGGGCATGCAACTCTACTTGCAGACATGGACTCTCAGCATGCAATACACAAATCGGAAGCCCTTTTGGCATTCTTTGCAACCAAACTCCACCAAGCTTCTCAAAGACCCTAAGCTTTATGTCCGTCTGAATGATTCGCCCAGGAGTCCTTCGACATACGAGATGCAAAATGCTCTGTGGAGGAGGACCGCCCCATACGCTTGGCGACTATTTCATTTACATACCTAAACATGCCTATGCAACCGGCAGAAAAGCAGTGCGTACACACCGCATCTTGGCGCGGTCCAAGTGAAAGATTCCAGGTTTCTTGCATGGCTTCTCTTGCAAAGACTTTTGAAGGGGCAATGGCTCACTGAGTCTATACATTCTAGGGAGGCACGACAGATAAACAGAGAAATCGCTGCAGCATTGTGCCACAAGTGCGATTCCAACCCTGGAGGATCGCCAGGCAATCGAAATGCAGGTTGCCGAGCTCTTCAGCCTCGAATCTTCCAGCATCTCTCGCTCCAAGAGCACCGACTCGGAGGAGTTTCGGTTTTGGGTAGCGGAGGGGTGGGGATAGGGGCCTTGGGCAGGGGAAGTCGAGGCTTTTTGACTTAGCCTCGGATGCTTGACGTCGCTGGCGATGATAGGGATCTCAAAATCTGAACCACAAGCTAGATGCCCTTGTTATAGCCTGCCTGAACACACACTGCTGCCCCTCCTGACAACACACCGCGGCCAAAGGACGCGGCGGAAGAGACCAGCATCCTGACACAAACCGAGGCAGACCTTCCGGCTCCTGCAGCAAGCCGCAGCCCCCAGCACGAGCAATGCCTCAATTCATTCAACCTCTTCGTGCGCGGCTCACTTCGCGACGCGATAATCGACGACTGGGGCCTTGAGACGCACTTGCCATGGCACATCTGTCTGCTTGCGTGGTTGCCCACCATGCTTTGCTTGACAGCTGTGTCGTGGTGTGCCATCGACTTTTATGAGGAGATGGGCTTCACCTCTCAGAAGCAGTATCTCCTCGTGGCAGGTCTGGAACTCTGGGTTTGCTATCCGATCTGCCTACCTTTGGCTCACCCATGGTGCCTGCGCTCTCTGAATTCTGGCTGTGATTTTGGTTTGCTTTTCTTTACTTATCGGTAATTTTGTAAAAAAACTATGCTGTCGACTCCCACCCGACGATTCATGAAAGAGCCAGGATCCGAGTAAGCTAAGGAGATGCGTTTCCAGCACACAGCACGCACGCAAAGCGTTGCTGGCTTTGTGTTGCGCCGGCGTGTTCGTTGTTGTCGAGGCAGCGGCAGAGCTCCTGACCGGCTCGATTGAGAGCTTTGCCTTCACTGCACAGCCCGCATTTCTGGCAATCTTCGTACTGATCTTTGCATCTTGGACATTTCAAGGGGGCTGATGGTGCCTTCAGACGATTTAGGAGTTTAGTTTAGCCATTTAGATCAGCAAATCCCGACTTCTTGGAACCGTCCCAGGTACTCACCATGCAGGCATGCTACATGACCTTCTCGCCAGATGCCGGGAAATTTTCCAGCAGGGGCCTTCTGAGAGGCTGAGGCAGGCCTTGAACTCGAAGCGTTTGCGTATTTATGGCCATGTGTCCCTCATAAGCCCCTTTAAACCAAAACGAGGTACCCTGTTTGTTCCTAAGTTACTCTTTGGGTCTCGGTGTAGCCATGGAATTGCAAAAGATCTTCCCAAAGAGAGCGGTGCCCTGAGGTTGGTGGTACCGAAGCCATGGCCCAGGATGCTGATGCCAAGAATTGGAGTCAAAAAAGCCGAAAGCACGCCTGGGGGGTTGAAGATGATGGGTTCTCACTCTTGCACTAGCTGGTTACAGGTACAATGCCAGAAGTCATCCAGACCTGTGTAGGATTTCTTGTGCCTGTAGAAAGGGTCCTAGCATTGGCACCTGCTTCCTTTGTGTGTTACGTTTTAATGCGAACCCCACTTGAGGGGGCAGGGCAGACCCCGGCTCCAAAGCCTAGAGGCTTCATGAGGATGTAGATTCAGGGTGGTATCGGCAGGTGAGTTGGGGTTTGGGCCTCGAACTCAGGGCCTGGAGTGCATTTGCGGTTGTCTGGGGCTGCGGGGATCTGGGCCTCTGGTAGCTGATGCCTCCAAGACTCTTAATTAGGTCCCAAGCCTGACTGTCAAGCCACATTGAGCAAAACGAAGAAGAGAGCCTACGATCCCAAAGCCTCCAAATACGCTGCGCACTTGAAATTATGCATCTCACCCTCAAGCCTCAAATCCCTCAAGTCACTACAAATTCTGACGGTGCTGCGCCGAGGTGTGTGTGGCTGCCTCGGCTGGATCGGTCGGGAAGCCCAAGCAGTGTTGGAGATGCAACACCAAAGCATGAAAGCCCCATCTACACGCCTCTGAAAATGAATTACTCCATCCATGAGGCTGAGCCGAGATACTGGCGGACTCAGATCCATGCTGGCAGCACTCTGAGACTCCGGCCGGCGCAGTGTGTCTTGGGATACCTCGCGTGAGGTGTTCCCGCCACCCAGAGTTGGGCTATATTGAGCCTTCAGCCAGGGCATTGGATCGTGGGATAGCTCAGCTGTCGACCAGGTGAGCCCAATGTTCAATGTTGGAACCTGCACAACTGGGATACTTGAGGATGTAATTATGCCTTCAGCAGACCGATGACAGGCTGCAAGAAGTCACCATTTGCTCGTGCCGCGAGGAAGGGCAGAGTCACTCAACCAGGGACATAGGCGAGCCCTCAGTCACCGAGGTGCACATAGCAGCCATAGCGTTCAGAATCGATGTTCGGGAAAGCGCGAAGAGGGTGAAAAAGCCATCGTAATGCACGCCCTCAGTCCTGTACCCTTCCGCCCAGCGACCGGCATTCAATAGTTCCAACGTGCGTTCCCTGCAGAAGCTGCCGGCCGACGTCTGCCCATTGCCATCGACGCTTGTCCCAGCATGACAACTCTGCAGGGAGGTTTGGGGCGTACAGCACAAGAATGAAATCCAGAGGCGTGCAGGGATCAAGAGCTGGAGAGACACGAAACACTCAACAAAGTCATGGTAGCTGCAACAGACGTGTGAAAAGGCACGATCGGATCCATTACATCCTAAGTTGTGGCATCTCAGCCGGTAAAAGCCCAAGATGCACCGAGCCAGTATCCTCGATGACCTTGCCCACAGCTCAAAAATTATACCACCCCCCCCCCCCCCCCCTCTAGAAAGTGGTGTTGGGACCACACTGCCAAGGATGTGGGCCGGCGCCAGTCCAAGGTGGTTCTCTTGTTTCTCCACGGCTGGCCAGATAATGCCGAGGCTTGGAACAGGGGGGATGGGACTGCCATATAGGGGGGGGTTAAGAAAGTAGGGGACCCCTACAGGAGACCCCCGAATAGTAGGATTCCCTTACTTATCATGAGGACCCCAAGAAGGTACCCCCAAGTTCGGACACCCCCCCCCCCCCCCCATATTAGCAGAGGTTTTTGTGAGAGCTGGTCTCTTTGTCAGCCTACTGTCCATTTACACTGCGAAGACATACAAAAAGCCGAAGAAGGTCTCTAAGTCGGCTTGGGTGGTTGGGCTGCATGTATCAACTAGCACCTAATTGCATCCCCCCCCCCCCCCCCTCCGATTCTTTTTGCCCCTATACTGGTGGCTCATGGTGCAAGCCGCTGGGATGATCCCTGAACGCAGGAGTGGAAGAGGCAGCTCTCCTATTTCTCGGATTTGGGATATCACTGCGTGGCGGCAGAGCTGCCCATGTCTGGGGCACACGGAGAGAGGACCCCGAACTGCACGAAGACGTCTTTGGGGAAACGGGTGCTTGCGGAATTCATTAGGGTCGGCTTGAAGAAGAAGCCGCGATGATATGCAAGGTTGGCAGCAAGATAAGTTTCAAACTTGCTAAGAAAAGATCAGCCCGGAAACTGCGTAATGTGTGGCTTGCTAAGGTCATACACCAACGAATGACACACATGCAAACTTTCTCCCGAATCCTTACGTCTGCAAACGTTCTCCACCTCGAGTTTCTGGTACAAGGCCGCTGATAAGCCCCGACTTGCAGTTCTAATCCGAAGCATTCAGCAACCCCGTTCTATGCGGGTAGTTAGCCCAATGAACTGCTCCACTGCCGAGGGCGCCTTGGGGGCACGACTTCGACGTCCTTGTGGCCAGTCTCAAAAGTCAAGGGTGTTTAGCTACGTACAGCTTAGCGCAACCATGTGCAACGGATGGTGATGTTGGCTTTTTTTGGGGGGGGGGGGATAGGGTGTGCGGGGGGGTGCCGGGAGGGGGCCAAGAAGACAAGGCAAAGCAGCTGATCAACCTTGCTGAGGGCCTGCGCAGCCAAGAAGGCCCAGCGGTTTTTGGGGCTCTTGCTGGGTGCTTTTGTAGAGAGTAGAGGGCTCAAGGTTCGGGTTTGGGCGGGGGGAGGGTCGGCATTTGGGAGGTGAACGTTCTGCAGAGTTGCATTGCGTCGAAGGTGCAAATCGCTCCCTGGTCCTGCTCGGGCACGACTGGGGCGCATGGCTGACGTCCCTTCGGCTGACAACTCTACTGTACTAGACTTCTCTGGATTTGTGCTTCGTTTCTTGCCCCTGACGTTGTCCGACGGATGACTCAAAAATATTCGGCTTCGTTGCTGTGCAGCCAAGACATAGACTCCCCAAAGCCAAGACACGCCTGATTAGCTGGACGGGTGGCAAATACGGGAGCAATCGTATCAAGCACCTTCAACAAGGTACATGGCCCAACGGCAGGCGCCACACCTTTTCGACGCCATCGTGCCCCTGGATATTGCGCCAGGCTATGGGCGGCTTCCCTTTTCAGCACCCTGGCGGGTAGACCCCAAAGTCCTGCCACCCTTCCTTCCGTAAACCTGAACTCTGAAGCCTGGAACTCAGGATCCCAGCAAGGTTCCTGCACCACCATGAGAGCCTGAACACCTGGTTTCAAAATGTAATCCGTTGAACGATGAGCTATGCGCACAGATGGAGGGGGTGGTTGTCTTGAAGAACCTTATACCGCTGGTCTGACCCAAGGCGCAGTGGCGCATTGTCGCCTACCAGCAGGTTGCCCTGTTCTGCTTCCTGCTCGGCAAACTGCCGCTCATGTCGGCCGCTCGGCATCGCCTCTGCACCAGATGCTCCCACACCCCAAATCCCAATCGCGTTCAAAGCAGCGAATTTCTTTAGAGGCTTCTCGTTGACTTTGCAGTATAAAGCCGAAGACCAACATGTGCTTGATCCAGGATGTCGCCGACTTCCTGATTCGATACTTCCTGCGGACGCTCGGCATCAGAAGGATGCATCGGCAAGGGTTCTGGGGCTCAACGGTTTTGGATTTGATCTGGGTCTGCTGGAGGGCGAGAACCAAAAAAAAAGAAGCAGAGGAGGAGAGAGGGGGAGAGTTAAGGCAGCGTTGTTAAGTGCAAGCTCGTCATTGCGGCAAGTTGCATCCTTGGTCTCCTTGAGAAGCCCCCCCATCTTCACAAGCTCATATAGACGCTCTAAACCTAAAGCATTTGCCCTGCGGAGCGGCTTTCAGTCAGCTAGGCGGGAGGCAACAAACAAAATCCCTATAAACCCTAAACCGGATCCTAGTGAACCCCACAGTGCTGCATGCATGCATGTGGCTAGTCGGGTGGCAAAAAAAATTCCGAATCCTTGCCTGCCCTGTGCCAGTGCGAGAGCCGAATCAGCCTAAACCCCATGTAGAAGCTTAATCCCTTCCCCCCAATATATAAATTGGTTTCTTCCCCCCCCCCCCTCTGTATAAAAACCCCCAAAGGGTATTAGGGGGTGTATTTATGTTAGGGGGAAGGGATTAGTCGCAGAGCCCTTGGGTTGAACTTTCAGGGGCCCTCTGCAAGGCAGGCTCTGGGGCCCATGGCCGGCTATGCTGAGGCTGCCAAGCATCCATGCGGTATATTTCAAAATGTTATGTGTGTTCTATATGTAGTATGTCATAAACAACACGTTACACAAGCAAATGTTGGGTACAGACATTCATGTACATGTCTCTACGGAATGGTATCGAGATCTGTTTTGTTCGGAATTCTGGTTCCGAAAAAAAGGGACCCCTGATAAATATAGACGGCACACACTAGTAAATAAGGACATAAGGACCCCAATAAGGTACCCCTAATTTCAGAAACGCCCATGCGTCCTTCAGGCAGGGCAGTTGATGTCACCGACTCCTCTGGAAGACATGACTGCAGCCATGGGCTGGCCGCCCCACTCCCAGCGTGGTCTTTCCTTTGGGGAGGGTTTAGGTGTAGGGTTTTTGGGAAAAAAGGGTTGCTGATTTTTAAGGGCTACGAAGGGGGGGGGGGGGGGGTGCCGGGGCGATTTGATGATACACATGAGGCTCCCGAAATCATCCCGGCAGTTGGGCTGTGCAGCTTTTGTGTTCAACTCAACAACTGACCACAAAGCATCGCCGCAAACCTCCCGAAGTCCTCCAGAAAGCTTGACGGCTGCTAGGTATTGGCAGACATGGAAGCCACCTCGCTTCTTCTTCTGGGCTCGATGGCAGCCCCTTTCTGCTGCAATTGGAATATGTAGGGATGGGAGTCTCCACCAGACTACGAGCTAGAAGTTTATTAGAATAAGAAGAGTAACAACAACAATAATAACAACAATAATAACAGTAGCAAGAACAAGAATGATGACGCTTTTGTAATATTATTGTTATTATCATGATTGTTTGTATATTATTGGTATTATTATTAGCATTATTGTTGCAAGGAATCACTGTTTAAGGCTTACAGGCTTCGCAGGGTCCAACGATTGACAGGCTCTGGCACAATTTGCTTAGGGATGGCAGCTGGAACATTGGTTTACTGTACTGTTTATGTTTCGGACGAGTAAAATGAATGGGTTCTACCGTATACCTTGCCTGGGGTGGCATGAATACCGCTGGCTTTGTCCGAGTTGTGAGAGTCAGGATGCTTCATTACTTCAACCGAAAACTCTGAGCCTGGTTCCCCACTTTCCAGAACGTCGACTGCTGTATACTGCTGTCATGTACTTTCCATGTACTCTTCTGACTGCTTGTGGGAAAGGGGGCTCGGTTCGTGGTTCCCGAATATGTTATAGGATCGGTTTAGGGACTTCCACCTGTCTCCTCCACTCGTCAAGGACAGAGGGCCTTCAAGGATGGAAGAACAACGCCCAAGATGCACCTGGGCAGTATCCGCAGGATCGCTGGTAGTAAGACTCGCAGATTTGTTGGGCAGGCGTGCGGCTCTTGCAAGAAGTCCAGCGTTGAAGTACGAGTGACGAGGTTGTTTCCTGCCGGTTTTTCTACTGAGTCTACTGGGAGGGGCATCTCCTATAGGGCCCAAGGTAGAGCGATGGTAGGTCTGGCTGTGTTTCGTTCGGCTCCGTGGAACTTCTGTTCGTTTCACCGTCCGCTGGCCGTTGGCAACGCCTCAACTCCCCCGTGATCGATTGACATTGAAGTAGCTGCTCAATCCTTCGGCCTTGGGGTAAGTAAAAGAGCCGTTTAAAGAAAGAGGACGCCACTTCACAATGACACGGTCTCAGCCTGGCAGTTCCGGAATTGTTGCATTTTCAGGCAAAGTTGGAGGGCGAGCTGCCCTCTTGCCCCACACTGCTTCTCCACGGAGTACCTTGGCCAAATTCACTCCAAGACTCAAAAGGCTCCTGGTTCAACTATAATTACAGATCCAAGGCCCCTAAAGACCCCCGGTCTTGCGCGTTGCGCAGATGCGTGTCTGTGTGGATGTCGCTTTTGTGGTCTTTACGAGTTTATGATGGCTTGGACTTCAGGGAATCGATGTAACTTGTCCATGGATCGTGTCTATTTACAGGTAGAGGGTGGCCGTAAGACCTATTCGAAACCGTAGTCTGAAAAGCGCTCCAGACTTCCAGCACCGAATTTGGCTCGACACAAAGGACTAGGCTAGGCCTGGTACCGTTCCAAGACCCCATTATACAATGGACATACTAGAGATAGTTGTATAATCATATATGTAACATACTCTAATAACAGAACACAATTTTGTGAGCAGCCCCCTGAGACGAATTTCACATGCGGAGATGCCAGGCTGCCTCTTCCAAGCTGGACCTCGCGGGTCGCTACTTCTTAGAAGCCCTCCGCACGAAGGGAGGGCCCCTTCGGTGTCCCGGCTACGGAAACGGGATTGTAGGGCGCGGGTGGGGGTGGTGGTGGTGGTGGTGGTGGTGGTGGTGGTGGTGGTGGTGGTGGTGGTGGTGGTGGTGGTGGTGGTGGTGGTGGTGGTGGTGGTGGTGGGTGGGTGGGGAGGAGAAATGTGAAGGATTTTTTCCGTTGGTCTTGCTGCGCCGCCCTCAGAAGTAGGGAGGTGTTGGATAGCGCGTGCATCCGGCGGAACAAAACAGAAGGGAAAGTCGGGAAGTTGTATATGTAATCATGGACATGGATGGCTCCCTGGTACTCTCTTCCTTTGTAATCCCTGCAGGTACTCCAAGGCCTTCGACTCGCACCACTGGTTCTTTCACTGGCGCGCAGCGGAGGTCAACCAAGAGATTCACCGCTTCCTAGGCAAAGTTGGCCTTGAACCTTAGTCTATATTCATGCAGGGCGAGTTTTGAGCACCAGCTCGTTGGCAGGTTTGAATCACAGTCCACCCTTCTAACGCAATGCCCAAGGGCCCTTAAGGGAATCGAATGGGAAGCGCCGCACTGGAAGGGCCACCAGCGCCTTTTCGAGCCATCGGTTTCAAAAGCCCTGCTTCTTGCACCGCAGGTGGGGCTTCAGGTGACGCCCCTATCGGGGTATTCAGAAGGGTTGGAGTGCAGGGTTTGGATTTCTCCTAAAATCAGCTTTTCAGAGCGGCACAAGCGGATGAGTCGTGGCAAAGGCGAACCCATGGCCATGGCTCAAGTTTGTTGACTCACTCACCTTGTTAAGCAGCCTTCGGTGACGCTCTCCCCCATGGCGATGACAAAAGAAGAACGGCTGGAAAAGTTTCAGGCGGCCAAGTCCCTGACCGGAGGAACGACCCGGCGCACGAAGCACTTTCAGTTGGCTGCCTACACCATCTCCACGATGGTCTTCGGCATGATTTGCAGTGCCTTGGGCCCAGCCATTCCGTGGCTAGCGGGCAACGCGCAGGTGTCGCCCGAGGTTCTGGGGTGGCTTCCGGCTGCTCAGGCAGTGATGTGTATCGCCTCAGGCCTGGCTTCTAGCCTTATGGCTTACGTGCCCAGGCGGTTCCACCATCGTCTGCTCTTTGCGATGATGCTTTGGCTCGGCGGGTTCTTCGCCTTGTTGCCAGTCGCCAGCCAAACCATGCTGGCTCTCGTTGCTACCTACGGTTTTCAGGTCTTACCACGACCGTGGATCGGCCAGATGACGAACCTTCTTGTCTCGGAGCTCTATGAGGACGCGAGCTTGAGCAGTGCCGCGCAGAGCTTCAACCAAGGTGGCTTTGCCTTTGGCTGCGTCATCATGGTGCTTCTGGAGCAGTTGTCTTCCAGCACCTTCGGCACGCAAGGAATGTTCTACATGGCTGGAGGCTTCACCGCCTTGTCCTCTCTCCTTTTCCTGAAGCTGCCCGTGTTGGAGGATAGGGATGTACGGGATGTACCGAAGGCAAGCCGTGCGAACTCGCTACCAAGCTGCTTCACTCTCACATGCAGTGGCCTGGGCGTTCTTGCTGTCGGTCTCGAGGTTGCCTGTGGGACGTGGCTGATAACGTCCATGACGCAGATGGGCTTCTCTACTGGTGCCGCAGCCGCCTCCAACATCACCTTCTGGATCTTGTTTGCCTTCAGCCGTTTGGCGTTGGCGCCCTGCATTTGCAAATGCTTGCGGCCACGCCCCGCGGCGATGGTTGTTGGAGGCGCAGCCGTTGCTTCAGTTTCCTGCCTGCCTGCAGCAGTCTGGCCGAATAACTTGCCAGCGATCTTCTTTGCCGTCTCCGGGGTCGCAATGGGGGCTGGCCCGACCTACGCGATGTGCATCAGCATGGCCAAGGAGCGGCGGGCACTCACCTCAGTTGACTCGGCCATGTTTGCCATTGCCTCATCCTTGGGCGCTGGTGGCGTTCCCTTCGTCATGAGCCGCATCCTTGCTCTTCTCGGCGCCGCATCCTTTTTCCCAACACTGCTTTGCATGTGCCTGGTGCTGCTGAGCTCTGCTTACCTCATCGACCGCATCTCCTGTCACAGAGCTGCAGGGGAGCAGGATGAGGAGGACGTGGAGAAGGGCTGCACTAAGACCACCAAGATGGCAGAGATTGAGCAGCCTGCGGTGCCAGCGACTCCAGTGGTTCCCCTCATTGTATGGACCTTCTGGGAGCAGGGTTGGCAACATGCCCCTGCCCTTTGTCAAGCCTGTGCTTCAAGCTGGGAGTTGGCAAACCCCGACCTCTCCATCCGCAAGATCTCCGCTGCGGAGCTTCCGGAGCTCTTGCCAGAGCTTTGCCGGTGGCCGCGCCTTTGGGAGTTGCCCCCTCAGCAACGCGCCGACCTGGTCCGCTTGGCGCTTCTGGAGAAGTTCGGGGGCATCTGGGCAGATGCCACGCTCTTCTGCGCTGCTCCAGTCATGCCTTGGCTTCAGGCGCTACGTCCCCAGGGTCTTCAGGGTGCTGCTAGTGCTGCGAAGGCGAATCCGGACTTCTTCTTCGTCTTCGACCGCTCCGACTCCAACACCTGGGTGCACGACCCCTTCGTGAAACGCGGGCTCCTGATCAGCAACTGGTTTCTCGCCAGCACTCCAGGCCATCCACTTGTCTCGCAATGGCTCGCGGCCATGCACCAGGAGGTAGCGAAGACCACCATCGCCTATTTCGGCATGCACAATATCTTTCGCACCTTACTTGAGGACGAGGCAAACCGCAGGCTTTATGACCAGGTTCCCCGTGTCTCAGCCCGGCACCCGCACCTCCTGGAATTCGAGCTCGGCTTCTCCACTTCGGCCACGGGTGCGGCCAGGGAGTTGCTGCGTCAGTCCCTGGAGATCGCACCGATGCAGAAGCTGTCGCACAAGATCCTGCAGGAAAACTTCCTGGTGTCGCTTTGCCGGTGCAGTGCCTCAGTGCCATCCCTGCTTGGTGAGTTGTTCGCCAGGCACGACGGCGTGATGTCGAAGCTGTGCCAGCGCCAGCTCCCGAGCAACGAGTCCACAGCCACGCACCAGGATTTGAGGCTCCGTGAGCAGGAAAACAAGAGGAAGGTACTTGCATCATGGAAGACCTTCATGTATGTCCCCACGGCTTGTGCGGCTTGCCAGGGTGAGGAGGCAACGGCTCCAGGCCCCCTTTAATTCGCAGTGAGCTGGCGGCACAGTGTCGGAATCTAGTGTTTTTTGTTCCTCTGCTTTGGCTTTGTATCTCCAGTTTATATATATGTATATGTATATGCATATGTATCTATGCGCGTGTATATGTATACAGCTAGGAAACAATCATGAGCAGTGCATGTCTGCCGGGCTCACGCTTCCATCTGAAATTCTCTTAAGCTGGGAGCCTGTCTGTGAAGCTCAGACGCTGAGCTCTCAAGCTTAAGACTGTAAAGAGATTTGAATTGTTTGTCCAGCCAGCCGTTGCTGGATTTTTAGGCGCGAGATGACTTCGGCTCTTTTCCGCAGTCAGCTGCCGGGAAGATGGCTGAGGCTTAGAACCTGAGCAGGCCTTTGCCTTAATTCGTCACTGCATGTTGGGCTACTCAAGAAGCCCTCCTTACATCTTCTTCCTGCCTTTTTGGTGTAGAGCCAGCAGCAGCTGCAAAGCAGCTCCAGTCACAGGACCGTCCTAGCCCCAGTCTTCCCACTGGTGAGCCACGGCGACAAGAGCCGCAGGCTTAGTGTGCAGGATGTGCCGATTCGGCTTGGCTGGACAGCGACTTCCAGGTACCGTCCAACTAGCAGGGACGTGACCATCGCGGCTGCAAGTCTGGCGATCACCCAGCGCCTGAAAGCTCCAGGCTCGAATTCAGGAAGTGTGTACAGTGTACAGTTATATAGTTATCGCGTGTAGGCATGTGTAGATTCAACCTACGTAAGATGCAAGTCATGGTGGCTCCTGGCTCTTTTCCCCTTGGGAAGTTTCTACAGCGTGGTTGACTGGCTTGGCCACCACGCTATTCCCTTGAGACAAGCAGCAGGGCCCCAAAGAGCTTTGCAGCTCCCTCAACCGACTTCTGTGCAGACCGTCGGGTAGAGATTCGGTTTGAGGCCCCAAGGTTCGCCGTGGGGAAAATATCGAGGACCGCGCAAGCACAGGGAGCCCTAGAAGTATGAAGGGATGAGGCGGTTGAGTGTGCAGGTACTGGGACCTGCTGATCATCGTCAGAGAATGAACCCTATAGAAGCCCTAAACTGCTTGGGGGCGGGGGGGAAGTTCTGCAGGGCTAGCTCGTCACTTGCGCTTTGCAGCAAAAGATAGATAGCAAACTACGCCGCGAAGCTCTAGATAGGCAGCAAAAGCTTCTGTATTCATTGTTTTGTCTGAGTGTGGGATCACAGTTGGCGTTTAGGCGGCTCATGGGTTTGCTGTGCTTGCTGCACCTGCCATCCCCGTAAGTCAGGGAACATGCAACGAGGGACTCTCTGGGCGTGCAGGGGAAGACGTAGTTCAGGAGAACCGGTCTTGCAGCTCAAAGACTCGATTGGTGGCCCCTCCATGCCATTGGCCCAAGCTGTGACATTCAGTTCGCGCGGTGGAGGCGAATTCATCCAAATAGTTTCATGTGAACCCTTTGACTTGAAAAGCAGGTGACGGCTTGGAGGCAGTACACGAGCACACGAAGACTTGAGTAGTACTTTGGCCCCTGGTTCATCTCTGGCTGAATTTTGTGCTGCCAGCTATGGGCAAAGCGAGGCAGGGTTCAACCACATGGCGGAACTGTTTGTGTTGCATTCTTGCTGTTGCTGACTGTTCATCCACGGCGGGTTTAACACGGATCCAGTTCTGCGTAATGCTTTCCCAAGTGGCAGGCATTGCCCTGCTCCCCTGGAATCTGCTTTGGATTCGTTGGGGACCTCTTGTGTCTTGAGCCGCAGGGTTGCTTGAACATCTTGAGGGTTCGGGTTTAGGTTTCCTCCTTGCATCGGATCCAGCATGTCAAAGCTTGGTGGAATGCATGTGGCCCTTAGCAGCGGATTCAGAGTCACCGATCCAAGGTACATTTGACGAAGCCTGCGTGTGTGCCAACTCCTCGCATGTCAAAGAGCTGGTGCCACTTCGCCACACTAGCTGACTTTGCTTTCATGTCATGCTCAAAGTTGCAGGCTGCGCGTTCTGAATGCCCTGTTCCCCTGATGCTCACATGGAGTGTTTTCTTTCTGTGGTCGAGTGGCATCCGAGGAACGTCAGCATTGAGGGACAGGCTTGCTACGCCTGTGAGCCGGAGCGGCTTCCTGCATGTACCTTGCTGACAGTAAGGGCAGGGCAGTGGGGCAGGGGCTTCTTTCTTCCGGTCCTTTCTGGATGAACAGCGCCCAGCGTGCTCAGGTACCGAGGCATCCGACCAGTGCACGCCTGAAACCTGCGAGTGCGGCAACTCCCTGACGCATGTCAGACATAATGCGACCACGGTAGATGGAGGCTCGGCATGAATGGTAGGGCATATTCCTGGGAGTGTTGAGGGAAGCCTTCCGGAATTTCGTGGCCTTGCACGCATAAAGTGCCAGCTCAATGCCCGAACACGAAGCGCAAGGCGGCACCCGACCTCACATGAGTGCTCTTCTCTTGACCTGCGTTCGGCCGACCACATCCACCCTGTTTCACTCACATTATGACTCACATTGCAAGCCGAAGCTGCAACCCTGGAGCACAACTCACGCAGTCTCAACACTCAACACTGCGACTTGTGCCACTCGTTCACCCCAAGCTTGGCATGGCAAATTATTTCTTATATCTGTTTAGAAAGTTGAAAGAATTTAAGCCTTGCAGCCCCGATTCTTCCGAGTTCCGAGGTGTGCTATGCTTTTACTGCGAGCCCCGGGATGGTGCCTGGCGCTTTGGGCGCAACGAGGCCGTCGTAGCTGGAGCCTCGGATGTCTTCCTCCCGAGAGAACATGGCACTACTCCGATCATGGATGTCACACATTTATATGGCTCTCGAGATGATGTGTATCTTGCATATAATATACATGTGTATGCATATACTGTTACATGACTGAGGCCTATCGCCATTCTCAAGTGCAAAGGTTGTCTGGGCAGCTGACTGGGTAGAAATCGCTGAGGTTTTGAGAATTTTAAGACTTTTTCGAATATTAGAGATGTTTTAATATGCGGTTTGGAGCCATGTTAAAACTTCGAAGCCACACAGCGCCCATAAGCGGTGTACTTAAACGCCCCAACTCCAAAATTCCCAAGCGCCCTCCCCCTCCGCCCCAACCCAAGGTCCCCCCCCCCCCCCCACCCCTGACTCTCCTTTCAGGTGGGCATCCCCTAAACCCAAAACTTACAAACCCTAAACTCTAAACCTAGGTGGGCATCCTGGTCCTAATCCTCGTGCTCTGGATCTCTGGCCGGCGATACTCTGCGAACGCGTGCCTCACCATTCTATTGCAGAGGGAGGGATGTGTTCATGTCGGAGACAGGGCTTAGGGTTTAGGGTTTGGGGGTTTGGGGGTTTAGGGCTTGGGGCTTAGGGTTTAGGGTTTAGGATTGAGGGTTTAGGGTTTAGGGTTCAGGGTTTAGGGTTTAGGGTTTGTAGGGTTCCAGCAGACGGCAGGGCTTGGTGGAGACTTGGCAGCCTTGAGGCGAAGCACACTGCGCCTCCCACGTCGGCAAGGGGACCGCCACCGTGCCATTCGACACCCGGCGTTGATGTGAGAATTTGAGGGCTCGGATGGCTTGAGACAGAACAAAAACGCTGCAGATGCTCGCAGGTAGGGTTGGGTGGCTCCGAGAATAGGTCATCATGAGGATTCAGGCTCGCTTTAGCGTCAGGGCCTCACTTGCGTGAATGACGACTGCTCCGTGAGTTGGTTGGTCTTTGCTTTGGGGCCAAGGCTAGGGAGTGCGGGCTGGGGTGATCTGTGGACTCGGACACTAAAGAACTGCCACGTGGTCGAGAAGTTCAAGTTCGCAGACATCAAGAAACACGTCCTGAATCCATTCCTTGCAGACCGTCGACCTTCAAAACCAGGGACCGACCTGAAACCGAAGCCACCCCTCCGAGAGTAGGCCCAGCTGAACACGAAGCAGGAAACAGCCCCATACATCCTGATGCACAGAATCCTGATGCGCAGTGCTCAGGTGTGCAGCAAGAGCCGCTGAGATTCTACGAGGAGATCTTGGTGTCCCTTTGATGCAGTGTTGCTTGTTGGGGTTCCAATGGGCCCACGGGTAGCTGCTTCACAATTTCATGTAGAGCTTGTTTTGAAACTTTCCCAAGCCTTGCTCAGGACCATTGGTGATGGCTTGGATGCTGTTGTGGATCGGGCTTTGTCGCTGGTCTCCTGGGCATGGACCAAGCGAGGATCTGCGGAGCACGGCGTTGGGTAGCGTTGGCGATTTTGAGGTCCCAGCACATGAAAGTTTACGATAGCAGAAGAACCCAATATTTCCCCAAATAATGGGACCCCCTTGTAACAATAGGACCCCAGAAAGGTACCCCCTAATTTCGGAAACCCCCACATGATCTTCCGAAATTCCCGCTCCCAATGCCCACCAAGTTTCAAGGAAGGGTGCTTGAGTTCAGCCACTGTGGCCGCGGACTCTGAGATCAACCACCTGCTTGCAGCCATAGACCTGCCGGCCCAAAAGGCCTAACCATTTACTGCCGGCTCCTGGCATAAGGACACGGACTGAATTCTCATCCCCAGCACGATGGGGTGGCAAGACAACATCAGCCTTCAAACCCTAAGCCCTTGAAGAAGAAACTTGCTTCCAGCTGGCTTGGAGAAGAAACTTGCTTCCAGCTGGCTGGGTGACAACACAAGCCTTCCACCCTGAACCTCTTTGGCTGTGTAAAGCCCTAACGAACCCCCAAAATCCCAATCCCGCGGAAAGAGAAGCCAAAGCCATGCCGGGGCGATTGGACTACTCACGCTTCGACCACATCGGAGACACCGACTCCGAGGAAAATGGAACATGCGGGACCAAGGTAGGACGTGGATGAGTCAAGTTTTGACGGGGTTGAGGGTTGTCGCAACTTGGGGTTTTGGTGCTTGGGCACGTTTGCTTTTCGGATGCCTTGTCGGGTTTGCTGTTCCAGGGGATGTGTGGCTGGCTATACAATCTTGTCTCCTCGCGGTTCATTTGTTGGATCGAAAATCAGGACGGAGCTGCATGAGCAAAAGCTGGGCTCAACCCCCACTTCTGAGTCCCACACCAGGAAAACCGGGTGAATCAAGCAAGGGACAGCCAAGCAGGCCCTCCAAAGCCCGCTTTTTGTCTCCCAGCCAGTTACGATCGAGGAGGAAAAGCCGCCGCAGGCTCCGACTGCCACGCCGACTGAAGCGAACGACTTGCTGTCAGCCGCTTGGTCCTGGGGTTCAGGGGTCTGAATTTAGGGTCCAGGGTTTTTAGGGTTTAGGGTTTAGGGTTTTTTTGATTTAGGGGGTTTCGCCTTCAACCCTTGGGTTGGGGGGCTTGGGATGTTGGCTGCGGGGCTTTCTGTTAGTGCCGGCTTGGGGTTGCATATAACATCATATTGTAATGGTATATCCACTCCGACTATATTCTATGTATACACATGTGTGGACATGTTCTTTGCTTATTGATTTATGTGCTTATTTTTGTTTGGAACTTTTTTGCCACACTATTTCAATGCTGTCCGTTCTGGCCAGTTGGCTGCTGGACTGGGAACGCCCAGTGACACGGTTTCAGCGAACCCCTCCCGAGGCTCAATTGTAGGCAACTCCGTGAGCAGGCGGGTGGCAAGAAACACCACCGAATGCCGCGCCAGCGATGTACATGAAAGAGCTAACCGCCGATCCCTCACGGAGATTTTATCGTCATAGATGAGTTTTTGTCAGCCGCTAGAAGCATTCTATGCCTGACAAGCATGTTCACCCACAACTCAAAGCACAAAATGCCAGAAAAGTCCCAGTTCAACGGTGTCGATCCAAGGAACTTCCCACCGACCTCCCCAGGGACCTAGCCTTAGTGCTGGCAGCGGCTTGGCTTTAGCTGCTTTCTGCAGTCTCTCTGAGCTTAAAGCCTTGCAGGCTTAGATGTGGTTCCCCATCGGGTTTTCGAGTGTCAGGCGACCACTCCCAAAATCCGAAGAGCCCTCAACCTCCCCCACGTGCACGTGCAAGTTGACCCTAACCTACCCTCAATCCTGCGGCGGCTCAGGCAAAAGGAACCAATGCTTAAACACCATCAAGACAACAGCAGCACTATGCAACGCTTAAGATCACAAGACGCCTCTCCTAAGCACCAGGCCCGGCAAGGGCAGCACAACTTGGTGGAGGCCCTTCTGCAGAGTGGCGTGGAGGCTGGAATGCTAGCAACTTCTCTCTCTGACACCAACAGGTAGTCACGAACCCTAAACTGAACCTTGATCTGCTCGGTGGGTGGCAAGCAAGCACCCTAAACCCCAAACCCCACCCACAAAGAGGCACCATGACTCAGAGAACTGACCGCACGGAGCAGGCCAACGCCGTGGACCCTCACGGAATCAGCGCCCTGCAGCGGGCCGTGGAGTCAGGTAGGAAAACGGGAATTAATGGCATAGAACAGTCTAGAAGTTTTGTAGAAACTGATATCATTTACTATAGTTTTGGTACAAGCAGTAGTGAAGCCTTTTCTTTTGCAAGGGGCGTTCGGGCACATGTCCTGCATGGCCCACCCGGAGTCCGCATGGGTTCCTGCAGAGGTGAGGGGTTGGGTTTCGAAGCTTCGGCTGCCAAAGCATCGTCCCTGTCAAGGCGGCATCCAGGCACGCGCCACCATCGAGGCCCTGCTGGCGGCCAGGGCAGATCCCTGCAAGGCATCATTGGGAGGGGAGTATAGGAGTTTGCAGACAACTTCCGGCTAGCACTTGGCCCTACACCCGAAGGCGGAACAAGCTGCATGCTCCCGAATTGTAAGGTTGTGAAGTGGCCAAAGCTCCTTACAACCCACAGTGGGAGAGCGTCTGCCCCTGGACCTAGCCAGGGCAATACTGCAGACGACTGCGCTTTGGCGGCGGCATCTGCCAGTGGTCCAGCAGAGCCGTGGCTTCTCACAGGATCTGGGGGTAACTTGTTTTGACATTGGTTTGGGAGTTGCTTTATGGGGTTTGGGAGGTTGCAAGAATAGATGCAGAAGGCATTTTAAGACGATCCATTGCTTCGAGATCTGGAGGAGTAGAGAGCCAGTGCGGAGCAGCGGCAGGCATCTCGCGATATCACAATATGATGAGAACCCACGTAGCAAGGAAGAAAGTGCTCCAGCTACCCCAGCATAACTGAAAGCCTCGACAGCTGCGTTTAAAGGGTAACCCCGATGACGCTTGAACCCCTCGATCCAAAACAGCAGATCCCCAAACCCCAAAACCCTCGCGTTTCGAGTCGAAACTCTAAATGCCCGCACCCTAAAAATGGGGTTTCCGAAATTGGGGTTACCTTCTTGTGGTCCTTATGATAAGGGAATCCTAAGTCCCGAATCCCCAAATAGGGTTTCGAACCTGAGGAGCTGCTGAGTGCCTTGCTGGGTGCGGCCGCGCTTTGCATGCAACACATTTAGGGTTTCGGGTTTGGGGTTTAGGGTTTGCTCGTAGAAGAGCTCGCTAAAGCAGGGTCGCGTTCGGGGGGTAAATCTTCAAGGTGCCCGCAACCTCCCACATAGAAAGCTGGCAAGTTATTATGGGGCTTGGGATCACTAAATGCGAGGGAAGGGCTTATTTTTTCTTCTGCCTACATACGCAACCTTGAAGTCGCCTTGAGCCTTAAGCCGGGGCTCGTCGCATGCGCACTTGCATATGCCCCATTCGGCATCCCTTAGAGGCCTTGGGCTTCTCGGCCGGCTCTTAACCGGGCGCTGTTTTGGCAGTATCCTGCTATCAGCACCAGCTCAAGTTGTTCAAGCGGCCCCCCCGATAGCCCGGCTGTTGCGGCGAGGCTAGTTCCCTTGTATGCTAGCTTGTAGTCTGGAGCTTCATTGGCCCATGCCAGAACTCAAGCCTGGCTCGTAGGCCCCCCTGCAGAAATCGTCTGACATACATGTCAGTGTTAGACAGCACTGTTGTTAGGTGTACACACACAAAATCCCCTGACCTGCTAGGGCCTGCCAATGCAATGCCATGTTTGCAGGACGCCTTTGTTCAAGCTCAAGCGCCCAATAGTAGACTTGTTTTAAAGCAGAGCATCGCTCGTATGCATATGCAGAGGTTCATCTGCAAGAACAAGTTGCGGGTGCTACGCATCAGGGCTTCAAAGTTTCCGTGCCGCCCCCGAAAGCGTCCGGCAGCAGCAGCTGCCCCGAAGCCGCCGCCCCAAAACAGTCCAGCCGCAGCAAGTGCCTTGCAACCGTCACGCGGCGCACAGACCTCGAAGGCTCTGAGCTTGACGATTAGAAAGTTTTGTAAGGGTTTTAGGTGCACTCAAATGTGCACTTTGTAATGTTCCTGGGGGGCAATATCAATGTACTATATTTTTCAATCACCGGTTTGAGTCAACCAGTACGAGTCCCCTGACATTCAGCAGGTGAACTCGGCAATGAGCTTCGCATTGGCTGAGCACTGGGAGGACTGCAGGGCCCATGTTGGCTATGGTAAAGACGGTCATAAGTCTAGGCACTTTAGGATCTCAATATTCGCCTGAATGTGCTCCTGTCTCCTCAATCTGGCAATTAGGATGAGAGTTGATACTTTTGACTTCGTTGATCCGGTTGAGGACTGGTGCTCATTTTTGGAGACCGGTCGTCGGCGGCTCTATTGCCGGTGCGCGGTTGGCTTTGAAGGCTCAGACCAGCTTGTCAGTAGATGAACTCGGAGCACAGCGTGTGTTTTGACCTGCAATGCACTAGTTCATGAAAGATGCCGTGTTGCTACGGAAAACAAGTAGAGCTTTGGTTAAAGTTCTGCAGTCATCCGCAGGCATTCGCAGCAGGACCACCCACTATTTTTTTGCCCCGGACAAAGAGACAATCGCCAGAGAGTTGCTGAAGCACCCCGATCTTGCAGCGAGCTTTGTTTGCAGCGAGGGCTACCCTACAGCCGCGTATCAACGCTTCAAAGCGCGCCACCCTGGATTGGGAAATGATTATAATCTGTCGGGCGATGCGTTCATGACGGCCTTGCGTGGGGAGCAGCCTGCAGACATCATCGAGCTCCTTTGTGAATTTGACGGCGACAACGAGCATGAGGGTCGGTATGTGGAGATGACGGAGCTGAAGCACGAACACTTCTTGGACCGTGAGCTGTGCGTACGCGTGGCTTGTGCCAGGCGTCGCCTGGTGACGCAGGCATTGCGCAACAAGGGTCTGGGCGTTGGCACATGTGATTGGGTCGCGAGGCTGCTATGGAATTTTGTTTGCGAAGCGCCTGTCGGCCACATTGCTATGAAGACAAAACGCGCCAAAACAGAGCCGAGACCTGTTCTCAACCTGAACCCGAAGCCTTATACGTATATCAGAAGCACATAGCGTAAACAACAAATCCCTTGAGCTGTAACCTGCATCATGAGAGAATTAAGAAGCCAGGTAAATCGATTCCTTTATCCGGCGGGGGCGGCATCACTGCTGGTCATCCCTCAGGATTTCCTCCGTGTTTTCAGGGTTTTTCAGGGGTTTCAAGGGATGACCCTGGGTAGGGCTGAGAGGGAGTTCGAGGTGGAGAGTGGCTTCAGGCCCAGACATGGCTGATGTTTTTGATTGGGGCACGCAGCGTGTACAGGAGATGGGCTTCAAGCTCTTCCACGTGTGCCGCAGTTCTGGCTACCTCTCGGCGAACTCCCGCTTCCTCTTCGCCCGCAGCAAAGGCCACGCGATGAAGCGCTTCCTGCTCAGCGAGGAGGACGCTGGGCCGCCGTGGGATTGTTGGAGTTTGGTGCCAATTCGGGGGGTCTGGCGGTGTGTCCCCTGATTGCAGTAGCCACCTCGCCAACAGGTTTTCAGCTCGAGATGCAGAGTTGAGGTTTTCCAGGTTTAGATTCGGGATCCAAACAGTTCGAACATGAGTTCAGATCATAAAGGACCGGTTCAGACAAGGCCAAAGTCAACCTGCAGCCGTGCCTGCTGCCTGTACGTGGCTGCGTGTTTTTGTCCCACAGTTTTTTTTTCACCGTCGACTTGCACTGTTTAGCATTGCGCAGCACACTCGGGCTGTTTTGTTTCGTTTGATTGATGGTTTGTGCTGCATGTTGGCGTTTGTCAGTGTAAAGTTGAAGTCGAGGCCAGTCCCAATTTGGCACAAGGATCATTCTGAAGACCTGTATCCGCAAGTCTGAAACACAAAACTCGGAACACGTGTAACGAAATCAGACACCGTGCTGCAACATTGCCGTCCTGCTGGGCATGGTGCCTCCTGCTGCTGCTTCTGGTCATTGTTCTGCTGCTGCTCCCTGTTCCTGTTGGTGCCAATTCTTGCTTCACTTGCCGGGGCTCATCTTCGATCCGTAAGCCCAGCTGATCTGTTAACAGGCAGCGCTCGGTCGGTTTGCGGCATATCGCCAGAAATGCCAAAGCATCGCGATGCCTCCTGTTGTTGAAATTGCTGCTCGCCGTCTCCTGCAATCGATTCTGTTGTTTGCTAAGCTGTCCTTCGGAGCTTTTCCTAGTCCTAGTCTTTTGCTTTCCTCCCGGTTGCGACTCGGTACTCTGACTTCCTCCTCAAGCCAGCCAAGCGTCCATTTCTCAGGACTGCTTTTACCGTGAAAGGCAACTTTCGACAGCTTGCTACAGCTGAACCGCAAGCCCTTCAAGACCCCCCAAGACCCCAAAGTGAGCAAAAACATGTTGAATGTGGACTCCTTAGCGTTTCAGGTGTATACTTCTCAATGAAGCGGAAATTGGGCTGCAAAAATCGACCTCAGCCCAGGAACAGATCCGGAAATCCCGATCGAGCTTCCTCAGCGAGGAAACTGTCTTGTACAGAGAGATGATGAGCCAGCTCAAGAAACTTGGTCTTGACTCTGGATTTCGTGCTTCAGGGAACATCAGCTTCCTTGACAAGGGGGATGTTTGCCCCTCAGAAGTGTTGGGTGGAGAACCCTGGAGAGCGCGAAACGCCGAATTGGAGTTTTTTGTTTTCAGATGTAGGAGTTTCTTTCATTTTATTCTTCAATGTTGCCTTTGGACACATATTTAAGCCAGGGCCAACAGAGGATATCTACCCTCTCAGAAGTCCGGCAGTTATCCGACGAAACGGTTGGCAACGTACTGCTCTACCAGAAGGGCTACTTCGACAGCCTGGGCCTGGCAGCTTTAGCAGCAGAGCGGGTGCTCTCGTGTCGGGATGCGTCCTGACGGGCGTGGACAAGAGTTGCCAGCCCGAGCCAATAAATCAGCCCAAATAGTCAAGCCCAGGCACGTCAGGGCAGCTGGGTCTTTTCTAGGAAGTGTACAGAGCATGGCCGGAAGGAAAGGCCGCCAGCGAGCTGAAAACCTGCAGGGGTTGTATCAAAGCTGGGGATCCATGTCTGGAGGGGTGGGCAGGGCTGGACTTAGGGGAGCGGCTCAGCTTCCCATTGTGTTCAGCCTGTATCATCTCACGTTCAGAATGATGACGAAACCGTATACTGATAAGAACATGTAATTAAGCATATGCGGTTAGCAACATACATACATTTTCTTTCTTTCTTTATTTGTTTTTATTTCTCATGACAGATATCTACACACATGTACATATGCATATACACAGTTGTTCATGTGTGTATGTTTGTTTAGCAACTTGCAAATATTTGTTTATTTTCTGAATTGCTTGCGTATGTCTTTCTTGATGACCATTCTTTGTCATTACCTCTTCTCACTCTATTTGTAAACAGGTGCACGTCCCGAGCTCATCGGCACTCTTGGGGGCATTGGCAACCGCAGCCGCCAAGGGAAACCGAGCCACTGCGCAGGCCTGGACAAACTCTGCAACGAAGTGTGAGATGGCCCATCCTATGTATGGCAAATACAAGCCACCAAAGGACAGCACACATGCGAAGGGCCTTTTCTGCAAAGCTGATCGTATTGAGAAGCATCTCGTGGCTGCGCAGGTCCTGCTGGACGCTGGTGCCCCTGCTGGTGAGGCTTCACTCCACAGCTGGGCGGCACGGCAAAGCACAGTTTGTAATGGCGTGGGGCCCTGAAGCATGCGGGATTGCAAGAACTGTAAAAAAAAGCACTTGTAGGCAAAGAGACGGGAGCGCACATAGCACAAAGCAGAATAGCTTCAAGTTTTGTCTATCGGGCCAAGCCGATGGATTGGACTACGGTTCAGCAATGTTCAGCATGAACCATTACATGTTTCTTCTGCTATTGTTATATAGCGCATGATTGCCTTGGCAATGTGCTGTATGCTTTCAACATCTTTCTACAAGATGAAAATATTCGCCTATTCTACTATTACTATGATATGTTAGGCATGTTACCTTCATAGTTATTATTTGACATCACTGTAGCACAAGACTGTTTTGCTACACTAGTGCACTAGTACATTCTTATATCATTACATTCTTGCATTCTTTTTCTTCACATTCTGATATTGGAAGGGCTAAGCTGTGCTGCTATTAAACCAAGACTTTTGTACACTGTTATATTGTTATCGTACAACATGTTGTTATTCTTTTATGTTATTCTAATTTGCGATGACTACGTTATTATGCGTTTCTGGTTATACAATTCTATTGGTACAATATGTTTGTATTTCCATATTTATGTTTGTTGTTACATCACTGTGAAGAGTCAGCAGATAGCCAAAAAGATAGTGCACATGAGAAGCAGATTCCTCGATTCCAGCCGTCACGGCAAGTCGCCTTCAAGATAGAGATCCCTGCCCGTGCAAATCGAACATGATCAGATGGTACCTTGAAGAAGGAAACAGCTACTACAATATGGGGAGACGTACTTCCCTACATGGGTTTCTGCTCATATTTAGGAGTAGAGGGCAACAGCTTGGGCTTGGATTGTTCGGTGGCAGCTGGAAGTCCTGTTGAACAGAATACTCAGCTCCTGACTTCTATTCGGGGTCAGTCAGAGTTCCCAATGCCCAAGGGATGCTTCTGTGGCCTAAACCTTAAACCCTAAACCCTAAACCCTGAACCTAAAGGGCATAGGAGATAGACAAGGTGGACAATGCTGACAGTGGCATGGTCCGGCAGCTGGCTGAGAAGCGTGCAGATGTGAATCTGGCACAGGCCCCCCGTAAAAGTGGACATGAAAAGTTATGTGGGGACCGAAGGAACCCCTAAAATTGGTCTCCTATACTATTGAAGTTATAGCCCCGATTGATCAGGACATGAACCAAAGAAGTGTAAACCCTGTTAGGGTCCATTTGGTACCCGAGGAAGCTGCACGAGCTGCAGCGTTCGGCAGTGCAGTTCTCGATGTCTCAAGAGCAGTTTCCGCATGTCCCGATGCTGAGATGTGTTTTTTTTCTGCTGTTTCAGGGCAACATTTGTAAGAAATGATTCGCCAACTGACGAGAGCTTTCCCGCAGGGCGATGATGGCGAGACGCCACTCACTCGCGCAGCTCGTCTGCGTCACGAGGCGCCCGCCTTGCATCGGCTGAGGGTTTTGGGTTTGGGGTACACAGCTTTTCGGGCGTCGTACGGAACAAGGCTGTAAGACCTGCAGCGCGTAGCTGTCTGCATGTTCATTTGTGACGTGGTACCTCTGCGTACAATCAATGCCCGCACTTGTCGATTGCCAACCCGCACTTGATGAGTGGCCCCTTGCTGCCAGGAGTCGGCTGTGCAACTTGTTCAGTTGCTTTGCGAGCCCTGCCTGATCAGCCAAGAGTCCGTGTTTCTGTGAGTGTGTGTGTGTTGAGAAAGGATGTGGATACGAGGGTATGTAGCACTGACCTTTGGACTCTTGGGCAAGGAAGTAGTTGCAAGCGCTTGCCTGCCCCGCTTCGGTAGCCGGGCCGGGCAGTCTGCACGGTCGGGCTGCAGCTATGGAAAGCGAACGTGGGTCGCTAAACAATTAAGTGAGCTTGGGGGACGTGCAAAAAGGGATCCCCGGAAGGTCCCAAGGGGCCAAGGGGCCCCAAGCGGTCAGGTTTTTTGGCTTCGCCGTTCGAGGGAATGGCCCGCACACGGTGGGCCCGAAATTTCGGGGTGGGGGAAGGAAGGGAAGGAGACCAGATCCTCGTCTGCTTGTTCTAGACGCCTCTACGCCGAGGCGAATTATGTGGGGCTAGAAGCTGACTCTGGGTCACCACACATCACGGCAAGACACACACATACTTTGACCAAGCAATTATGCAGGTGTATAGTTGTCAAGATGTGGCTGCCGATCGTTTGTGCTCATTGGCCAGGACTCAAGAGGTCTGCCATTTCACAGTATATGAGTATGAGTCTAGGAACTGACACCGACAAGCATGGTTGTCTGACACCCTCAGCCTTCTAAGTTCATAGGCCTTGATCCTCACAACTCATGTCCCCCCCCCCTCCCCACGTGCTTAACACCACCACCCGCCCCATGTAAACATTTAGGATATGGGGCAACGTACCTTGGGCCGAGAGAAGAATCTGCAACTCCGGGATGTGTCCTTCGTGTCAAGGACCTCCGTGCGGATGTCAATCAACCAGCGCGCTTCTCGGCACCAGTTGCTCTGGGATGTGTTCTTGGATGCCACGTCGCAGGATATTGGCTGGCTAGTTCGTGGATTTCGTTTCGGGCTTCTGTTGGGATCAAGGGAAGGCAGTGCACATTCCACGCTCTCCCGATACCGCATTGAGTTCAACGCAGTTGAGAGATGAAGTAAACTGAAGACTCATCATAGATGAGATCAGTTTATGGTTGTTTAGGTTTCTCTTACGCTGAACCCGTTTTTTGGTGAACTGACTTACTCCTACTGGGACTTGAGGAAAGGTTTGGGATGTTCGCCCTTAGACTAACAGTCCGAGTAGGGGATTATAGTACCGCCCAGCTAGTAAGTATAATTGTATAAGGGGGAACATCCCAAGGAGAGATTTTTGTTTGGGGAGGAGGTCTGGGATCTGCATCTGCACCTGCCAGGAGGCAAGGCCCTGACGCCACTGGCGGCCGCCAGCCGCGCGGGAGCGGCAAAGGTGATCCAAGCGCTGCTGGAATGCGCCCAGGAGGAAACTTTGAGGGAGCTTCGGGGTTTCTGCGTGTTCCCCTATATTCAACCCTGATTACGACTCAACTTATGACTTTTCAAACCCTTGGGTGGCACTGTTGGGTTCACGTGGGGCTTCGGGCCCGTAGCTACACTTATAAGCTTGCGGCTGGTACTCCTGTACTAGCTAAGGGTTGTACTTAGAGGTATTGTGCCACTGGCCCACCCGCGATCGTGCCCAGGCAGAGCTTCAGTGCAGCTGCCGGACGGCTCCTCGTCCATGTCGCCCCTCGTCGGGGCAGCCACTGTGGGGAGCCTGCCAGCTGCCAGCGCCGCGGCCCAAAGCGCGCAAAGGTCGAAAAGGGTGATCATGTAAGGAGGGTGTATATAGAGGTTTCTGCGGAGTCTTCACTTTAGGATTGGCCGCACTTTGGGGTTTGGGATGTTGGGTTTCCACATCTTTCAGGGCTTAGCACGTCTCCCTGGAACAGGAGCCTGTTCAGGATGATTTGGACCGCAGCTCATACTTGGCACGTCAGCTCCGGCACTCAAAAGCAAACCCATTGCCTCCGCAGCACTGACAGTTCTTTAAGTTCGTGATCTCTCGCGAACCGCCATTGGCCCACCGATGCCGTACCGTGAGCATTGCAGTATTACAGTCCTTCTCCGGACCTCGAAGCAGTCGAAGCCCGAAACGCTGTCAGCACGGCACTCCGAAACAGAAACAACCCTTAGCCCGCAAACTTCAAGTGTATAGAAGTCTGCCCCTTGGTAAATGCATGAACACAAGTACTCTTAATGGACTCGGCGAGGTGCCCTCCTGCTTGCCAGGGCCTCCGCCGAAGCGGCGGATGCTGCCGGGCGGCGTCCCCTGGCCTGCGCCGTGGCCAGTGGCAGCCTGGAGCTGCTCCTCGTCGTGGGAGGAGTTATTTTCTCTATTTTGAGCAGTGTGCAATATGGTGCGACATGTATAGATGAATGGGATGATGATGTCGTGGCTCTTTTTGGGGGATCTGAGGCAGCTGTTCGGGCTTGAATGCAACAAAGAGGTTTGGGATTTTGGAGGGTTGGAAGGGGTTGTGTGTAGACTTCGCTCGGGCTGCAACAGTTGCCTTTGAACTCCGCGTCCTGCCCTTATTAAGAGGGCAGCAAGGATAATGTTGCTTGCTCATGTGGAAAGGTGCCGCTTGCTTCTTGGCGCACGGGCCGATGCGAACGAGCGAAGTCGCGCAGGCGAAGCTTTCGAAGGCTGGTCGTTGAAAGTATGCGGAAACCTGCTGGATGTAGGGCCCGCCAACCACTGGACTGAGCAGGAGGGTATAGCACTACCTGGAGGGTTTAACCATGTTTTGGTGTTGGGTGGTGCGTTTCTGGCCCGGGGCTGTCGGGCCTGGGCTGGGTTTGTGGGACCAACATACGCCTCCACTCAACTTGGGCATGGAAGGATGTTAGTGTCCGATTGTCTCAGAAGGACCAGGCGCGGCAGCCCTCGCGATTGCCGTAGCTGCTGGGCACAAACCCATAGTGGAGGAGCTTGTGCCTGGTGAGGAAGTAAGGCTACGATGAGTTCAGCTGTCAAAAGGGTACTTAGCTGTCTATAGGTTACTAGAGTCACTAGAGAGGCACAGCATGACAGCCCCAACCTCCTTGCTTCCCTCAGAGGAGTTGCTTGCTTCCAGGGCAGATCCGGACCAGGCCAGCGAGCGTGGGCAGACACCGCTGATGCTGGCTGCCGGTGTGAGCCGGCACGACCTGTGCGAGCAGTTGTTGACTGCATCCGCCCAGCCCAACAGCACGGATCCAGATGGAAAGTCTGCTTTGCTGCTGGCTGCTGGAGGAGGTTGTCTTCCGGTGTGTGAGGCCCTGCTCAGGGCTCGCGCCGATCTTTTGCAGCGCACGACGGCCGGGGCCTGCGCCTTGGATGCCGCAGCTGCAAACGGTCATGAGGCTTCTTGTCTCGAGCCTGAAAGCTATAAACAGTTGCTTAATTCAGATTTTGACCTTGGAAAGGAAAGGAGGCACTCCTGATTTCGTTCATGTTGAAGGATGCCCTGCATCCCCCTCCCCTGCGAGGCTGTCTGCCGGGCGCTGTTGGATGCAGGCGCGGACGTAAACTTGGCTGGCCCTGCACAAAGGAGCCCGGCAGACGCCGCAGAGTTGGCGGGGCACGCCGCCCTGGCGAAGATGCTGCGCAGCTAGGGGAAAAGCCGCTCTGCCCATGCGGCACTTTGCCTGCCGCAGCACAGGTTGCCCTTTCAATAATTTCCATTTCCATCACGGGCCCTTCTGTGGAATCACAGGTTCCAAGTACACAGCGCCGTCTAGAATCCCAGAAGCATAGCATTGCAGTGCCAGTTCGCACTTGGGACGCCCAATAAACATGATATTCCCAACTCGCCCTCACCACCACGACGGTAGGTATATTATGGAATGGCCGTATAATCCAGCTTGGTTTGAGCTGGCAGGTGTGGCCTGAACAGACTCTTTTTGTGCCTGCAGGACCCCCCTCTTGACAAGGACGCCGGATAGAGTGTCTCGGATGAAGACGCAGGACAACTTACAGGAGTTGCTTCCCTGAATTGTTGTACCTGACATTGCAGTGCTTGCAGTAGACCAAGCTCGATGTGCATGGATGTAGCCTTTGCTCAGCATCAGCAGAGGTCCGCATCCCGACACAACAGTGGCTCTCAGTCGTGCTTGAGATCTGAAAGTCAGGTGCAGAGTATAGCCCCGTATTGCCAGCAACAGCTGCCCGACACAATGGTGCTTACGATTTAGCATGGTTTTTTGTTATGCATGATGCATCATCTCAAAATATCTCTAGATATACATTTTTGGTGATGCTGATTACTAGCTTGCTGGCCATCAATCGGCGTCTTGGCCCTCAGAACTATATGCAATGCCAGAGAACCTAGATGGCATAAGTATCAGTTGAGTCATGGTCTCAGGTGCCACACGCAGGATCATAGGGACTGCCCGCTATTGAAATATTGCTTTGAGTTGGTATTCGCTGATCCATAGCACCCTTCGCGATTTCAGGTAGCATGTCATGTTCAGGCACTTGGGAGATGTCTCGCAGGAGTTGTAGGCGCGGACGTTTGTGCTGCCGCACTCGAGGCGATTTTATTTCAATCTTGGCTGTGCAGACCAACAGCTCGAATGTTTCAGCTCGAATCCTCAATAACGCGAGACATGCCCTGATCTCAACTCCAAAACCCAACACCCGTAAATACCTGATGCTCACAAAGAAACGCATTCTATTATATACGCTCTTGAAATTCACTGTGACCTGTTTTTTCTCGGTCACCTGCCAGTGGATTTGGATGCAAGGTGCAAAATCAGGCCGGGTGTGTGCTGGCTGTCATCGATATGTGTCGAGTTCACTCGCACCCTTACTTGTCACCACCACCACAAAACCCCAAACACAAGCCATGCTTGTCCTGGAGCGAAGATCTTTCAGCCTTACACGCCTCATCCAATATCCTCGCAGTATCCCCAGACTCTACACCCGACAAGCGGGAGGTATAATATCGAGCTGGTGGTTGGATGGCAAGCTTCAGGGTCCGTTGGTTCTGTCAGTGGGCTGCTGGGTTTGCCACTCTGGACATTCGTTCTTGTCTGCGGTATCTGCCAGCTTGCAGTAGCACTCATACAGTAAAGCGCTTCGGTAAAGATTGCCTCCTATGATGTAGCTTCGGAGTTCTGACAAAAAGTCCTGGAATCCCTCGGCAGATCCTTCCTCGTGTGCTTGTTCCTGCAAAGAAGACCCAGAGCCATGGCTTCGCGCGGAGTTTGCGCGGTGGTGGGCTGCGGTCCCGGCATGGGCGGCTGCTTGGCGAAGGAAGAGTTGCTTGGATAGGGGCAGCTCGCCCACGTTTGCGAGCCAACTTGGGATGTTGATTTGTTGAGGATTTGTGCAAATGTTTTTTGAGGGGCCGTGCTGGCAATATCGGTTTTGGGCAGTTGTTGAGCAAGTCCCCTCAGTATTCCTCCAAGAGCTGGCAAGAGAACGAGCGAAGCCATCCTGTCATGAAATTGTTTATCAACCTTAGAGAACATACCCCTAATCACTCCCAACGAACCAGGCAGCGCCGCCATCAAATTTGCCAAGGTGGGGCACAGAAGGGGTCTTGCAGGCTGCGTCTTGCTTGTTGCTTGGGTTTTGAATACTGGGATGCTGACGGCTTTCCAGGTTTAGGAGCCCACATGTTCTGTGACAGATGGCAAGACTCCCCAGAGCCCTAGATGTAAAAAGGTGCCGGGTTGCGTAAGGGCTCGAAGCCCTATAAGCCTCGTTATGATAGACTGCAACCCAGTGGTTTCTTCAGACTTTGTGCTCAAATTCTGCCCTGCACCGCTCGTGAAGCCGCACAACGCTCACCCCCTTGAAATAATAGAAAACGGCCGAGCATAGAAGAGGAGGAGAAATCAGTGTTAATCAGAGTCGCCATCGTGGTGTAGAATCGGTAGAGCCGCCGTCTTTTTGGGATCAGTGTGCGGATATTGAAGCCTTCAGAAGCCAGGAGGGCTACCAAATCGCGGCCATGTGTCGTACAGCACCCAGCTTCGAGCCCACGGCTGCCAAGCTTAAGGCCGCAAGGTAGGAAATCCTAAGCCCTAAACCCTAAACCAGGAGCTTGGGATTTTAGTGTTTATGGACTTTTCTCCTTCTTGGCTGTTAGAGGGTCCACATGAGGACTCGTTCCAGAAACGGGCCAGCCTAGTCTGTTAAACTCGGGCCTGTAAGAGTTTGGGGTTTAGGCCTGCGTCTACGATGTTTAGCAGTATAAGGCAAGTTGATTAAATATGTTTTTGGATATCTGTTTTCAAGGAGCATTGGGGTAATGGGCTATGTGTGTCACACTGATATTTGACTCGTCATGAGTGTGCAAGTGCTCCCTGTCTACTCATGCCATCTTAGCTTGGCCCTTCGCCCAATACATGCCTTTTACTCTTGGCGAGCAGGACGTGACATTTCCTAGAGTCGCCTCTGCAGCTCTTGCAAACGGTGCCCCAATGTGCCCCAGTAGCAGAACACAGCAAGATAGTGAAATTTAAGTTGGGCCCCCCGGTGAGTCAAGTTGACACTGTAACTCCAAACCCAACTTTCACCGCTGCCTTTGTACCCAGCATTCGATGGACAGGAGGTTGGCGCCAAGTTCGCGTTCTACGAGATGGATGCCACCGACAAGGCCAGTGACACACAAGCCTAGCTTAGAACCAGAGCTTCCGCGCTGCAGGTACCCAAAAACCCTGAACCCTGCATCCGAAATCCTTGATCCTTCTCGTAAACTCAGCTCAAGTCGAGCCAGCGCCAGCAAGCGCATGTGAACGTGCAACCTCTCAACACTAAACCCCAACTGACTCAGCCTATCGCAGTCGTAACGGCGGCCATGAAACCCGAAACTTTGCAATATGCGCCAAAACAAGTCCAGGAAGTGTCTCAATCCCTACTCCCGAAGCCTCAGACAAGGCATCCGTCTCCACTGCCTTCGACAAGGCCGCCAAGGCTCCCATGATGCCGCGTTCATGTTTTTTGGAGTTTTCGGAACAAGAGTCTAAGAGATTCAGGGTAAAGAAGACCCCTCACCCTGTTTTCTACATTGAGGAGCTGGGCCCTGTGGACGTGCTGGCGCCGTGGCTGCAGTTTTCGCTTCGGGGCTTGGGTGCTAGGGAGGTATAGGTGCTTCTTTATGTTGTTCATAGAGATGTATCGGGCCGAATTGAAAGCTCAAGGATGCAAGGATTTCGAGTTTGCACCGCGATTGTCACAAAGCAGGAGAGGATCCACGGTTGTGGCTGGCTGGGGTTGATAGAACTGATAGAAAAGGGCCAATCAGCTCGAGCTGGGCTCCAAGTGTCACCTATTTTTGTGGTCCTCATGCACGGAATCTGTCAGCTCTGCGCCATCCAGCCCTTCGCGCGCTTCTCGCCTCATTTCTTTCCCTAGTCATAGCTACGCACAGGGGCGTAAGTTTTAAGTCGTGGCTAACTCGACCGGTACAGCTGTATGAGTGTTCGTATATCACGCCCCACTCATGGATGTCCCCCGATGTCCCCCGCGCCTCGAAGTTGAAGGTCTACAATTGCGGCGGGGGTGGCTTTGGCATCTCCATCATGGACATCGATCCGGACCCCGGATGACGCACGTTTTTGGGAGTCGGTGGTAGCTGGGATCTGGGAGCCAGTTCACTCCCAGAACCCTGAACACGCTTGAGGCTGGCTGGAAGGACTCCTTTGCTGTTGTAGGTTCCTGAGAGAGGTGATGGCACTCCTACCACCAAACAACCGCCTCAAAACCTCCTGCTCCGTGACTCTTATATTCCCGCCCTCAAGGATACCTTCAAGAAGTCCTTCGATGCCTCCTGTGTCGGGGCGCTCCTATGCTCGCAGGCAACTCGGTGGGAGCACTGAGGTTCTCGGGAGTTCACACAGCTTGTGCTTCTGCCGTTGCTTGTTGGCTTGGGCCAAAGAAACATTAGCAAGTCTAAGTGTTGAATGTCAGGATGCCAGGTATTACTTCAATGACGAAGTAGATGGTGCAGCACTCCGCCGCCGCGAGTTTGTGGTTCTGGTGCAACTATTTTTTTCATACTGGCTCTTCGTAAGTGTTCCGGCATAAGGTTATGGCTCAAGTTATGGCCCTTAATCGGATTACGCCGAAATGCACGAGGTACCAAGTACCTATATATAGGCCTAAGTTCCGAATCTCCTCCAAAGAAGCAAGAGCATGTCCAAAATCTTGCAAGCGTACGGAAGATCGTCCATATGTTGTAGAGTTTTCTTCTGGCGGACGTCGGACTTGTGGGCGTCAGTTTCCCCGCTTCAATCAAGTGGTCCCCAAACATTCAGAATCGCCCTGAGACGTCCAAAGCCCCCGAAAGGCGGTGATCCCCGGCATGCTTGCGCGCGAGGGCAGCGGACCGTTCGCCGTGAAGAAGCGGGGCACGCCACTAGATCCTCGAGTTTCAAGGGACGTCTTGCTGAGTGAAGCCCCAAACCCTTAAAATCTAGTGCCGGCCAATGTGCTTGTATGTAGAGCTTGTGTCGAGTGTGAGAGTCGAACCAGACGAAGCCATGTCACACCAGGCTTCACAAGTTGCAAGTCAACGCTTGCCGCTTGTGAGTACGAAAGCGCAAAGAAAGAATTCTCCGTTCAGAACCGATACATTAGAACCCCGCTCCCTGTGATCATTCACAAGCTTATCTTCCTGCGACAGAATACCAAGAAGAAAAGAATAGATACACAATCGCAATGACTAGTAACAAGTTCATGACTAAGCAAATGCATAATCGCAATAAGTGATTGTTATTCTCATTACATATATTTGCAAATAGCAATAGTAACCATGTAGCCAGCCTCGAAAGTCATTCCCTTGACTCCTCGCCCTACTTGCCCTAAGCCCTAAAACTTAACAATCCTGTGAACCCCAAAACGCTTCCGCCTTGGCATGTGCGAGAGCGATAGTGGAAAACCAAAACGATGCTATACCCGAAGCCCTGAACCCGAACACCTCAAAGTTCGCCCTGCGATGTAGATTCGCCCAAGCTGTGCAGGCAGGTTTAGGGTTTAGGGTTAAACCCTAAGCCCTAAACCCTCCCACTAAGGCTGATCTTCTCCTCAGCCACTTCGGCCTTCCGGGGTGCCAGCGGCACCGCGCAGTTCGCCTGTGGGAAGCATGCGCTGAGGTGCACACTTCGGGAGAGTTGGGGTTTAGGGCTTGGGGTTTGGGGTTTAGGGTTTGTGGTTTAGGGTTTAGGGTTTGGGGCGGCAAAAAGGGCTTGGGGCAAACGAACCAACGAGGTAGCGAGTTTCTTGGCAGAGTTACATGCGGGGCATTGTTGCAGACACAAGTGTGGCATTGGTACCAAGGTAGCATACCAAGGTTGGATAGTCGGGATAGTTTAAGCAGGAGAATTGTCTAGGTAGCATGTTGATGAGCAGCAGCAGGAACCATTCTAGCACAACCTGGAACACTTCAGAATCAGTGTAGCCCTAGACCTTCAGCCTTCAACGTACCCTGACAAATCTTATTCCAATATCTCTAGACAGTATGGTCGGCATCAAAATGTTTTCTCATATCTAGACTGTTGGCCTGCAGTCTTGTGTAGAGTTTGCTTGGGAAGACCTTTCAAACTTTGGATATTCCCCCAAACACCTGCAGGGCGCTGTCCCAGTCAATCGCGAAGGAGTGCCCCGGAGTAACCGATGGCTTCGGTGTAGAAAACTATAGCCCCCTAAGGATTTTTGATATTTTCCATTTAAATCCCAGGGCAATGGTTGACAACATCATCATTGTCAAGGTTTAGAAGTTCTAATTCAGGGGAATGTAGGAAAGGGAGCCTTCTTGCGGGTTTTGCAAGCTTTTGGCTCTCACAACTTGAATCCCGGATCTGCAATGACTTCAGGTGCTGTTGATTGGCTTTTTAGCTTTCCTTTACTGTACGGGATGGCAGCTCATTCGGTCTCTCTTTTTGAGGAGGTAGGAAGGGCAGCCTTAGAGCGTGCATAGGCGTGCTTGTTGCTTCAGGGCCAAGAGTGCTGCGTGCGCATGCTGCGGAATTGCAAGTAAGCCGAGGCCAGACTATTCCCAAGGGTCCAAGTACAACGTAGTACACTTTAGAGCTTGCTCATACTTCGCGTATCTGTAGAGTACTCGTGTAGCAGAGCTTTGTCAAGTAAAGCAAAAAGGGGTGAATCTCTAACTTGTACGAGTCGAGGACCCTGGCCTTGCTGACCCAACTCCAGTCCCCAACCGGTAGGGCTTATAGGGCTTACAGGGTTTAGGGTGTATGGTTCAGGTGTGTGCCGGGCAGCCCCCAAGGTTCGTTGTTGAACAAACGGCTTAGGAGCTGCAATCTTGTGCTACACTCGACATGAGAGCCACATCTTGTCTTCAAGCTGCTACCAGGTATGGCAAGCAGGGCATCCATGCCGTTCACGTGCGCCTGGATGCTCGTCTGGACTGTAGTGCTGAGCAGATCCAGGATTCAGAAGCCAGCGCTCCTTGAAATGCTGTCCAGTGACCAGATAAGGAGGATCGGGATGCGGTTGGGATTTGAGGTGCCTAACCAATTCTCGTGTGCTTCTACTGTTACGGTTGAAGCTACCATCAACGCAACTGTTGCTGGCCCTCAAGTCGAAAGAGGCGGAGCCTCCGAAGGTGGACGAAAAGCCCATTAGCCTTAGCCCGCGACCAAACCTACAGCCGGCTAAGGATTGCGTCTTGGATACCCCGGGCTATCAGAAGAAGATGCCCGAGATGTACGCAGCTCACAAGACCGCCCCGGGATGGCTAAACCGTCGTCTGCTGATGACTTGTTTAGTCTGTAATCTACGGGAGGCTGCTAGACTTGGAGCATGCTTTGTCACCCAGAACCCTTGCACAGCGTTTTGTTCAACATCACTGCTGCCGGTTGAGCATGTAGAGTAAAAGGATGTTGCAACCCCCATTGGAACCGAAGCCGCCGAGGCCGTGAAGCCAAAGCCTAAAAGTCTATACCTTCCCAAGCCCCTCAACGCCAACAACCTCAAACCGCCCATCTCACAACTACAATAGCTGAAAGCAGCCACACAGCCACACAATATCCCAAGACATTGTTTCCAGGATGGGCTGCACCGATGATATTGCCGAGACCTACTTCGCCCTTGCGCAGCAGTCACCACTGGGCTGGTCCAACGAGGTGGACATCCGTCCCTTCCAGGAGAGGGAAACCTAGGAACCTAAACCCCAAACCGTAAACCCTATAAGGAGTCTGAACAGAAGTACGTAGGGCTAAGGACATCGGGTTTATTCCGGGAGCCCTCGTCAAAGGTTTGTGGTGGAGTTGCTGTTTGTTTGCTTCTCCTTGTCGGAGATGTATAGGTCTTTACGGCTTTTGTTCATGGATTTGCTGGGCAAGGTAAGGCTCGTCATCTGTGAGTTCATTTGTTGTTGCTTGCCGATGTTTTGCTAAGATTTGAGCAGCATTGTACGATGGCTTACAGACGACTCTGGAGGCGGTTGGAAGAGGTTGGTGGGGCTTCTTTTGAGGCCTGGTCTTGAGATCCTCCATAGGAGGGTCATTGGTACTGTAGTTGCATTGAAAGTAGATTCGTGTGGTCTGATGCAAGTTCAACCCGAAAACAGCAATCGCCCTGCGCGAGGAGGGATGGTCTTGCTGAACGACACGTCGCGCTTGACTGCGCTCTGCTAGGAAAAGGTCCGCTTAAAAAAGCTTCTGTGCGTGGTTACTCGCTACTAAGGCCCGTTTAGCTTGCAAGCGGGCTTTGTACATGTCGTTCCATGCTTTCACCCAGAGCCTACACGTAGTGGCTTGTGGCTGCTATCCAGGATTGATACATACAAGCCGTGTACAAAACCCAAAACAAGCATCCTTGGTCTCCGAATAGTATTCCTCCATAATTCCCTCTCTACTTGTCGGTTTGTCCTATGTTTCTGCTCATACGGATCACTTCCAGCTTTTCCAATGCTCCATCAGTCGCTTTCCAGAACCCAGATTTGCAGCTTTTCCATCTCAACCGTTCGGTACTGCATCGGAAATGCACCTGCGGATGCCTTCTTTCCACAGCCAAAGATGCTTCGAACCTGTGCATCACATGGGCGTATCTAGCGCAGGACTTCCTTGAAGTGCTTATAAGAGGGACGCAGCGCATTGTTTGCGTTTTCTGGCCCGGTCATACCCTGCGTCAACTGAAAACCGTAAGCCCTTACTGATTCCTGAGCTCCACGACCTGACATGGAGCCGAGCACCCAGAACCATACCCCGAGCTAATAACTTAACTTGACCCCCCTGCGGCAATGCCATGGCGTCTCCCCACAGAAGGCCCGGGCTTTGTTGTTGGGGCTTTTCTGGGGCACCTGGCGAAAGTTACAATTCTAGCTGGGATTGGGTACGTCTGTTGTTTTTTTCAGGCGTCGACGGCTTTCGGGTATTCAAATCCTCGACCGCGTTGACCAGCAAAATTCATCCAGACCTGATCTCAGACTTTGAGCAACCTTGAAGCGATTTTTCCAGGCTGTGTCGGCTCCTTCTCGGCCTGCTTGCGCTCACTGCGCCTTGCCAGGCGCCAGATTCAATCTTAAGCTTCCTCAACGGCTTCCCGACTTGAATTCTATTGGCTTCTGGAATGGAAGTCAAGTGTATGTATGTCCTTATACACACTAGATTTAAATGTACATCCCTGACCATTTATATGATGGTATACACTGTACGTCAGGAAACGACAGGAATAGACACATTCATCGGGTCCTGCAGACCTTTGCTTGTCCAGGCACTGGAGGCACGACAGCGCATCCTTCAGGCGACGTGCGGGAGGGGGAAGGGTCAATGAGGCATTGGCAAATTTGCGCCCTTACTTCAATTCAAGTACAGCTACACATTTAGGAGCCCTCACACGAGAAATTGGGACTTTGCTTCAAGAGGCTTTGGATCAGCTGGCATCCGAGAAGTACGACGCCCTCAACTGGCTAGAGGGCAGAGGCGCTGGTCCGTGCCCACGGTCTCAGTCTAGGTGTCGACGCAGGGAGCTTCAGCCCTTCTTCAAAATTCTGAAGTGCCCGAAGCTCAACATACTTAAAGCCTCTACCACAAACTCTATAGCCTCCCAAAATGCTGTAAACGGGCCCTCCCCTCCAACCCCTTAAGCCTCCGAATCCAGAGGCCCCGTCGCCAACGCAACGGAAGAGGATCGCCTCGCCGACCAACTCCAGGAGCTCGTGGCTCTGTCTGGGGTTCGTCGCGCCTGAGGTGCATGAGGTTTAACATGGTTTGACAGAGGGATCTTATAGGATACGAGCCCACAGGGCCTGTAGGGTTGAGCATGTCAGAAATTGTTGAAGGTGGAGGGCCTCTGTCTGAAGCCACGAAGGAAGGTTTGTCTGTGGCCTGAAGCGGGGTCCACTGCACCAGGAGTGCGTGGACAGATTGCAGCGGCTGCGTGCTGCAGATGAGAAGGACCTATTTGAGTTGCACCAATCTTGAGCTTTGGTGACTCCGATGTCGGTTCGGCGTCTCAGGAGTTGTGATGTCTTAGTGTCGGCCTGCGCTTGAACGACTTTTCTACAAGCAGAGTTGTGGTTGTGGTCAACGCCAACAAACTCACACCTCTACCCAGCAGCGCCTTCTGCGAAGCTGGCCGCAGGATGTAAAATGTAGGCATGCTTCCTTAACTTACCGCTTCGGTAGCCGAGATCTCTGCATGGAGACGCAAGATGCATATGACTCCATGACGTGAGGACCTGGCATCGGCAAATGTGCCCCTCAGCACATCTCATCCGAAGTGGAGATTGATTTCCGAAATAAGGTTGACCGGAGCATGAAGACATTGACCTACTAAGTTCTTCACCAGCGACGCATTGGACCGAGGTCGGCGAACGCCACCCGGCCTCCGGTCCCAGAACCGATCAGCTCCCCGGCTGTATGTAGGAGAACGGTCTCTTTTTTTCTTTTGGGGGGGGGGGGGGGGTTGGGGGCTTTCCGCATGCTCTGAACGATGTGGTCTTGTGCACGGTCTTTCTTTGTGTGAGAGCCTGACTTGGTTTCTGGACCGTTCTCTCCACTTCAGTCAGGGCCCTGCGCATTTGGGGAGTTTCATTTTGGGGCGTCGACGCTTCAGGTGACAGGGCTCTGAGAGGTTAGGTCCACATCATCATGCCACCCTCGACTGCTCTGCGGGCTGATTCCCCATCTGCTTATAAGGTGACATGGCGGATCGAGTCAGCGACTTGGCAACAACTCGAAGCCAGCTCTGTGGCTTCCCAATGCTCTGACCTATAATGCTTCTGTAGTGGAACTTTTTTGAGCCTTGCCCCCCCCCCCCTTGCCCTCCCCTTCCCCTCCGCGTGGAAGCCTTCTGACCTTCCAGAAGCCATGTCTGACATCACTTGCTGTGGCATCAGGCAAGCAGATGGAGCCGTTCATCGCGAGACTTGTCTGAGTTACATGGGAGGACATACCACTGTGGACCATGGAGGGCTTCTTGCGTTTAAGCCATGGATGTTTGAACGCACCTCACCCGGGTGCCAGGTTCTTTCCGGGATGTTGCGCTAAACTTCTCCAGTAGCACACCTGCCCTAGAATCTTCTCGGTGCTCCCTGCAGCCAACTTCTACACACCTACATATTCCACCTGAGGCCAGTATTCCACTTGAGAAAGCCATGGCTTAGGCTCAGGGTTGAGTCTTGACCCGAGGCTCGGCTTGATCTGCGTGACTGCTGCCCTTCTGCAGGGTAGGCGCGCCACACCCAACACTTCTCTGGACTTCGCAGACTTTGTTCTGCACGGGGTTGTAGAATAGCCGCGACTTTCGAAATGCAGTGTATGTCTTGTCGCATATTTGCAAGATCGTCCTGCCTTCGACGTGCATTTCAAGGACGAGAGGTAATTTCGGAGAGCCAAGATCACATGATACAGAAGCCCTCTACAGCTGGGCACATGCCAAGAAGCAAGGAACAAACTCAAGCAATCTTGGCACGACTTCCTGTGCTTCACTTCCTCACAGGCGACCCTTGGATCTCTTCTCTGCCAGAGCCTCAGGCGTGACAGACTTGGAAGGCTCTGAGTGCAGAAGATCAATGGCTTCCAAAACCCGAACTCCCAAGCTCAAACTCCCTTTCCTTTTTCTTTGCGTGTACAGGTGGACGTCTACTCCCCTTGGGAGGCCCAGCGCACACGCATGGCCTAGGTATACTGTATGCTTGTACATGAGTATATTGGGCCTTGCCACCTCGCAGTGGTTATGCAGCGGAAGCCTGCCTGAGCCTTCCTGAGAGAGGCGGCGCTTGCGTTTACGCTGTCTTCACTGACTGGGTACCTGTTGGTGAACCAGTGGGTGCCTGGGCCAAAGCAATGAAACACACAGAGCCAAGAACTTTCGGGGGGGTTTACAGTTGCATGTGACCGCGGTGTTGGGTTCAGGATATTCTGGGCTTCGTATGTAGGAAGGTTTATGGTTTTCAGGGTTCTGGGATGTACTACACGACTATTTGGGTACTCGGCCGACACGTTCTGAGACACCTCATTTCGTACATGGTTGAACTTGGTGGCTTCTCCTGGTCAGGTTCAGCATCGGAGCAGTCTAGGGATGAGGATCTGCTGAAAATTTGCATTGGCAGGTGCTGGGCGTACTGCCATCAAATCCGAGACTCGGCTGCGTGAGCTTGAGGTTTGTGCTTATCTCGTTATGCGGAAGTAGCGGCCAATGAAAGACAGGCGCATGCTTCGTCTAAGGCGGTGATGCTGATGGAGTCGTTATAATTAAATGTACTATATGGTCGCATGTGGCCGAAAGGGACTTGTACGATTTGTACGATTAGGCTTGGCGGAGGTACTGAGCCCACCCAAACTTCTAATCCCTACAGCCGTGCGTAGACTTGTGCGGCAAGGTTCACCCTCTATGTGGCGGAGTTGGTCATGTGCTTTCTGGCCGTTACTACCTGTGTCCCCTGGCAGGTCCTGGCACTTGCGCTTGACGAGCTTCTAAAGTATACCCTGACTTAGTTTAGAAAAAGTTGGGTGATGGAAAGGGGTCACGAGATGTGCCGGGCTCGATTCTAGGTCGTCCCCGCCCACGTAGCATCAGCAGCGAAGCCCAAGCCCTGTACTGCACGTTGTACACCCAGCACATGAAGAACCCAGCTTGGGCACGCTTGCTTTCCAGCTAGGTGCCGCTGCTGATGGGCAGCAGCCAGGCCCGCTATTGCTTGCTTGCGAGTGGCCAGTGGGGGAAAGTAGCAGCCTGCCAAAACAGCACTGTCCCTCCTAGCGAACGGGATCTTTTCCAGCTTCAAACTCCCACCTTTGAAAACTCAAGACAAGCATGCCAATGAATGCCAACTACCTTTTTGAGCCAATGTCAGCGAAATGACCCGCAACCTTTTGGCCAGGCGTCGCCCAAATGGCATGCCGTGGCAGCCGGGCCAAACGCAGGGTTGGAGAGTTGGTGTTGGACATCGGGACGGGCATAGAATGAGTTGCCTCTGGGCACGAAGGTTCACAGATACATGACGGGTTCTGGTTGAGGAAATGTTCAATGTGCAGCTACACTTGATCGCGTCCTCGACTAGCAAATTGCAAAGCACCCTGAGGAACTGAGGTTCAACTGTAGCCCACATGTGTAAACCTATTGCAGGCCCAGATGCCTATGCTACACCAGCCATCAGA